GGTCCGCCTAGAGCATGCAGAAGTAGTGGTCAGTACTAAAGTTTCCAGCTTCATTGTGGGATGCAAGCAGGTGGAATATTTTAGTGTCACCAACACTGGCAGTAGAGTTGGGCTGTGGGGGAGCTTAACGATTAGAAACTGTGAATGCTATAGAACGTGGCAAAACTGACTGTCTGTGTGGTTCACAAACAAAAGCATCGGACAACATTGGCTGGTGTGGTGGACGCAGTATAAGACACATCTACACTGATTCACCCTGATGGCAGCAGGGTGTACCCAGATCTCACATAGACCTGGCAGTGGGTGCATCCGGATCTCACGTAGATCCACCCACAAAGGGCCAAAGCCAGGAGCCTCGTCAGTCATCAACATTTACCACAACATCACCACATAGAGAAAGACCAGTCAAAGAGCTGGACGAGGGACTTGACTATGAAAAGGATTTTAAATGTGTATTCACGTACCACTACCAAGTCTTCATATATTAAATGAATGGGTCAGCTCGACGAGAGAACACCAGAGTTTGGAACAGCAGTGAAATGATCTGCAGCTTCTTTGTGACATGCATCACCCAAGGCCTTGATTCCGAGTTGAACATGTAGATATGCCTGATGTGCGAGTTGTAACTTGCGTCCAGCGAAGACTGTTTAACAAAGAGTTCTGTAGTGCATCACATGTACAGCCTGGGGCTGACCGACAAACCAGGCCATCACAATGTCGGTGATTTGAGAGGGTAATTGTCATGTCATTGGACTGCAAAATAGGTGGAGGTGTTGGATTGAGGTCAAGGAAGGCAAGGCGCACTGCAAATAGCAACTCACTTGCGTGCCGATGGTTGAAAAGTGACTCATCTTCTGTGAAAGCTCATTATGTGCTTATAAAGCATCAGAGAGGGCACTGACATACATTGGCCCGTTGCAAGCTGTCTGCTAACATAGGCACTAGTCACCAACTGCAAAGAGGGCATGACATGGTCCGTCGAAGCATGGTGCTAGGAGATTCTGGCAGGCTGGCACCCAGATATTGCAATTGTGAAGTGAATTTTTTTTAGCTAAAAACGATTGGTTTTCACTCAAAAATTTTGAATTTCACCGTGCAACTATTTGTTTAATTTTGTTCAGCGGTGCCCCTCATAATTTTTGCATCATGTCCCACACACAGAAAATCATTGAAACATGAATTACTTTTTTTCAATGTTTTGACAGACAAAATGAGAGGAAAATTCTATCTTCTTAATCAATGTTTTTTGGATGTTTGGTGGAGGAAAATGGGAAAATGCCTGCAGTGAGAGTTGGAAATTGGTGAAAAGTAAACTTGAGGTTATATTCATAGAGTACTTTGAATGGACTAGAACTAATCACAATGACAAAACTATCATAAGTGAATTCTGTGATTGGAAGCCAGTCTATCTAATTATTCTAGCAGTAAGATGTGAACATCCTTAAATATTGCTCTACTTCTTGGTTTATTCTTTCCATCTATCGGTTGGTCTGAGAATGATATACTGTTGATATAGACCATTTGATGCCTAGGAATATTAACACTTGTCCCATAAACTTGGAGATGAATTGTGTTCCTCTGTCTGATATCACTTGGTTTAGAGTACCATGGTGTTTCTATACATAATTAAGGAATAATTTTGCAATTCCTTTAGCATCAACTTCTTTGGTGGTAGGCATAAGATGTGATTGTTTTGTATATTGATTAATAACAATAAAAATACTATCAAACCCTTTGCTTTTAGGCAAGTCTACAATTAGATCACATGTGACTGTTTGCCAAGGTCCCTCTGGTATTTCATTTGGCTTGAGAGGACCATGTGATTGTGTTGGGTGAATCTTTGTTTATTTGCATCTACCATAGCCATTTACATAATTATGGACATACTTTATCATTAAAGGCTACCAATAGTTTCTAGAAATTAATTCTAAGGTCTTGGATTGTTGTCATATCCTGCATTCTGGACCTACATCCGACAATGTTCTCATGCCTCATCTGGACCTCTGGATCCCCTATCCATGTCTCCAGACTTTCAGTCCTCTATCTATCCAATTCCTAGATCTGATATCTAGACATCTGATCTGATATCCACTTCTCTAGATCTCTGGATCTGACCTATGTTTCATATCCAAACTCAAACCTTAAATCAGTGCCCATCCCCTTATGGTAATCATATGTCTCATCAGTCCTACCCTTTGTGCATGGTCTTAACAATTGTCCAGGATGTCCAGCCTGTGAAGAGTCATGAAATGACTTCAATATCTCTCAGCAGATCTTTTTATCATTTGAAATATAAACTAATCCTTGGAATAACACTAATTTATCTTCCATCTTCCACATTCCACTCTTCAATCTCTTTGTATAGTTGTACTAGTGCTGCTTTTAGTATTTCTAGCACTTTAGTGACTTTGGGCCCTTATTCTATGCATTGTCTTATCTTTCTCAGCAATATTTTCTCTCCTTATACTAAAACTTGGCCTCTTTTAGTAGCTTTTACAGTAAAAAACTCTGGTTTTAACAAAACACAATCAGAATTATCATTTTCTACTCTTCCTCTGTGGTCTAATCTCTAAGAAAGACAGTCTGCTTTGTCATTAACTACTCCAGGTGTCATATCCCATATTCTGGACCTACATCCGACAATATTCCCATGCCTCATCCGGACCTTCGGATGCCCTATCCATGTCTCCAGTCCTCTACCCATCCGGATCCCTGCACATCCGCACATCCACATCCAGATCCCTTTACCTCCGTACATCAGACCTCCATACCTCCGCAGCTAGCCTGCATCATTCATCCTTCGTCCTATCGCCCTAATGTCATATCCCGCATTCTGGACCAACATCCGACGATGTTCCCACGCCTCATCCGGACCTCTGGACCTCCTGTCCATGTCTCCAGACCCAATCCTCTATCCGTCCGGATCCCTGTACTCCTGCATCTGATATCCGGACACCAGATCTGATATCCACATCTCCGGATCTCCGGATCCGACCTATGCTTCATATCTGAATCCAAACCTTGAATCAGTGCTCATCCCCTTATGGTAATCACCTGTCTCCGGACTTCCGAACATCTGGATCCGACCCGCGTCTATCTTCCATGCCTTATCCCTTTGTATGTTCCGTCTCGAGTTAGACTTCCTCATTTTCCGTACCTTGTTTCATTTCTGGCTTTATTTTACTATGTCTTCATCTCCGTCTTCATTTACTATTTTCCGATAGACTAGTGTTTGACTTTTCTATACCCTCCGTCCACAGCCTCGCATAGCTTCGGACTGCGCTGACTGATTCTCCGTTACGTCCTTTGTAGTATATAAACACTGTAAAGTCTCTATACTTCCTCAGTCTGAATATTACACATATTAGTCTTCGCACTAGTCTTCACACTAAGTCCTTGTAACAGTTCTAGTCCTCCGACTTAGTCATTATCCATCTCAGGCCTAGGGAGGAATTCCCTAGGCCGGAGCTCCGCTCCTCCGATCCACCATTCCTCCAAGTTTCCGGAAGTTCCTCCGGAACTTTCCCGTGGTCCTCCGGACCTATTCTTCTTCGGACTTTGTCCTTGCAGCCTTTCCTCTGTTTCCTTCTACTCAGGACTTGTCCTGAGTAGCCATTACACATATCCCCGTCAGGACGAAACTCCATCGTAATTTCCGGAAGTTCCTCCGGAACTTTCCCGCACTCATCCGGAAGTTTCTCACACTCGTCCGGAAAGTCCTTCCGAAGTTTCCCACGCTCCTCCGGAAGTCCTTCGGACTTCACTGGACTTTCTCCGGACTTCATTCTGAAGTTAAGGGCACATACTCGGGTAAGGGGCACAGCGCACGAGCTGAAGCCAAGCCCCTTGGAATCAGTCCTACCCTTTGTACACAGTCTTAACACCAGGCTTGTGTAAGAGCATAAATTCAATATTGAGTTTCTGGGAGAGGTCTTGATAGCAAAAGACTTGGATTATATGCAACTAAGTATAAGTAAGAATATAGTAGAAATGTAGCATTAGCCATAGGTATAATAAAGAAAATTATGTACTATAATAATCAAAATTCTGAGTCAGCTATATATGAGCTCCAAATATCATAATGATTTTAATCAAAATTTTGCATGATGCTTTGTGAAAGAATTTAATTATACATCTGTTAGCATTATCAAATCTATTTAATGTGTCATCATTAAATAAACATTCTATTATTTGTGTTTTGTTACAAAAAATATGGTTTGTTATAAAACATTTGATGCTTTGGCATAAGGTCTATCTTAGGGGTCACTAGGCTATTCTAGCTGATAAGGCTTGCTCATCAAGTCTGGGTAGGCAAGTAGACTCAGATTGAATTGTAGTCTATTTATGATCAATAAGCAAATAAAGTAATTTGGTTAAAATATATTATTCTTTTGGTAGAGAGAAGGAGTAAGATTACCTATCCCTAGTATTGAGTACTTTGAGATATGTGGTGGAAGTAACAAAAAAGGCAAGTATTTAATCTTGCTTGTTATAGGCATAGGCCTCATATGCTCATACATATTTAGAATCCTTTTGCAAAATTGGCAATAATATTAAACAAGCTGCTATCTATATATCTGAGCATAACTTACTAAGAGCTCGTTCGATATCCCTTGTATAAGCCAAATTTTCAAAATATAAAAGTTCCGTTGATCCTGGCATGTACCAGCCACAAGCTGAGATTCAAATATCTTTCCTTCCAACTATGGCTAGGAGATCTAAGTCCCAAGATGATCTCCAATACAAGCACGTTGTGCTTGCAGTCGCTGCTGTCATCCTCTGTACTCAGTTGTAGGTTGCCAGGATGATGAAAAAGAATGCTCAACCAAAGGCCCAGTGGAACCACAATGAAATCGATGTGTTCCTCACATATCTCATATCAGTCAAATCAGCAATTGCGGGAACATCCTTCAAGGATGTGAACTTCAATGAAGCTATACAACAGATCACAAGCAAGCAGACACATGGGCCCCTAAAGACAGGGCCCCAGTGCAAAAAAAATGGATGTCGGTATGTTATCTTACATTGATCACCACCATAAGTATACTACTATTCATGTAGTTAAAGCTTACATATAACACTATCCAGACATATGCAATAAATCAGGTTGTCATTGGGACAATGATTGTGGGGCCAACATCAATGGCCCTACTGCTGAAGCTGTCTGGGCGGACCATATTGGCAAGAAGGTGCATGATAATATCACTCAATTTTATTGAAAACAATCCTTATTATCTATTTACAGTTCAAGACTACCGGTTGGCCCTACCACTCCAAGATGGAACAAATCCTCCCTTCCCACAGCTCTGCGCAAGGCACTGCTGCCTATCATCCTGCTCTTTCATCTCTACCTGAGAACGAACAACTGATGGCCAGCACTAGTAGTGCATCTTGTGACACTGATGTAAACATGTCAGATGGCAATCTGGTTCACATCAATACTCCAGACATCCTTTCAGCTGACACTCGCATGGCCCAGCCAGACATTACCTGGGGCACTCCCCCTCCTGTTCCTGAAGCAGGCAGCAGTACTGCCATTGTGCCTCCTATGAGCATGCTTCCTCCCCCATCTTCAGGCTCTAGTGCTAGCAAGCACTTGCATTTGGAAATGAATCACGGTACCTCAGCTGCTACCTCAGCTCCTCCATCCACTGTGTGGACTTTGGTCTCACAGACGAAGCCAGAATCAGATAAGAAGCCCAGGCTTGCAACCACCAGTGGCAAGACATGCCCAAGTGCAAGCAGGAGCAAGAAGAATACCAAGGATGTTGCCAACACTGCTGTGTTGATGAACCTTTAGGGCACCATCAACCGCTTATCGGACTCATTAAATACAAACTTTCACACTACTGAGGATGCTTGTGTGGCTGAGCATAGGTCACGCACATCAAAGTGGGTTCAGTTGGCCCCAGAGTTTTCAAAGGATGAGAAGGTGATTTTGATACATGTTCTTATGAACAATCTGGTAGCATGTGATTCAGTTGACGACATTGATGATCGCAACCTGCACATTGCATTTTTGCAATCTTTAATCATTCATGCCAAACAAGAGGACACTTTGTAGCTCTCACATTCAACCTTACATTTGTAGTTCTCACTGTTAGAAGTAGCACATTTCAATTGTAGTACTAGCTACAAAAAACTGAATCTATCCTGCATTTGTCTCCACAAACTCGCACCCATCATAAAGATCATCTTCATCAAGATGATCCTCATCAAGATCAACATCTAAAATGTGCAGAATATCTTCTAACTCATTGTTGCATATGAAAGCCAGATAGTCATCCCACATCTGCATTGCGATGCGATAAAAACATGCATTTGCAGATTGAGTGTATGGTCCACACTCATCTGCTGCAGTGTATCCTTGATGGCTCGGGTTGTTGTTTATGACACTTGTCAGTAGGAGCAGGTCTTCAGATGGATCATGGATATGGATGAAGTTATGTAGAATGCAGAGGGCAGCTGGAATGTGAGCTTGTACATCCATCTTGTACTTTGGGGATATGAGGAGGATTCAAAAGTGTTGTTTTAAGACACCAAAGATTTGTTTGATGACATTTCATGCTGAGGCATATCGAAGGTTAAAGAGTTCCTCTTTGTTGACCGGTCTGAAAAACAAGTGAAAAATATCTGGTGCCAGCACATCCCCATTCAGCCAAGTGATATCAGACACCATAGTAAGGAACAAGAAGTTTATCACAGCAAGGAAACCCTGCATCCACTAATAGATATTTACCAGCAGGTATCTTTAAGCCACCTTCCAGTGCTTGATCCCAGAGCTGCGCATCAGTTGCAGATCCTTCCTAGCCAGTCAGTGTGTATATGAAAAGTAGGTTGAAGCTGCATGCAAAAAGGCAGTTTTGTAATAAAAAAAAGCCTTTGTGATTATGATATATGTGGTGTTTGGCTGCAGGAGGGAATGCGTGGATATGGCTGTCATCAATCGCTCCAATAGCACCCTCAAAGTAAGGCCAATGTTTGGGATTGTTGCGAATCTTAGCAGGGATGGGATCATCGGCATCAGGAAAAGATGTATATTTCTGGTAGACTGGGTGCAATGCAAATATATTGAGCATTTCGTGAAAGTACCTACAGGGGTGTTAGAACTGATAAGTTTCAATTAAAATTAAACATACTGAGAAACAGTATCATTTGAATGCTGGAAATGTTCAGCGACATGTCAGATGGTCAGTCCTATCATGCAAGAGTAGAGAAAGATGGCAAGTTGTTCTTCAAGTGAGATGTATTGCGGGTCTGTGTGACCAATATCCCAAAGCTCATTTATCAAAATCTCAAAAACATGTATGTGCACCCTAAGCTCGCAGTGAATGTGCTTGGGATGGCCAATGATAAGCTCCAGAACCCATTCATGTCCAGAAAGTGCTGAAGTATGGTATGGCTCAGGGTCTTTGGGAGTTTGTGCTGCTAGTAGCACTACCTGCACAGTTGCAGCAATGAGTATACTGATTAGAAGAACTAGGTAGTAAAGCATCTACTCACGGATTCTTTATTGTACCACATGCTGGGCTGGAATGTGTTTGGGAGTGAGAAGGTGTTGTGAGATCAAGCGATTAGTCAACAGGAGACCCAGTAATGGCTGATTACGAGGCTGAATATGCACAGACCCATCATTCATGATGACGGTAGTGACAGGAATGCAGAATACTGTAGAGTATATCAATAAGGGCGATTGTATCAATTTCAGACTCTGCCTGCAGCCAGAACTGTGCCGGGATCAACAGAAATTTTGTATTTCAAAATTTTGGCTTACCGAACGAGCTCTAAGCCTCTAGGATATTCTTAACTGCTGCAGATTCTCAGAATAGGCATGGTGCTGAGTCATGAAGCTGTGGGAAGAAACAGGTGATGTCATTAATTAACCAAAAGCTGCTTGTGGTTATGTTTGTTATATGACAATAAATATGTTGCAAGAAATTATTATTATTATATGATAGACATAATATGATTATCAAAAAATTGTTTATATATTGAGCATGTACAAGTTGAGGATATATGTATGACTTCAAATTCATAGTAAGTTATAATTCATGTAATTTATGAAAAAACATGATGTTACTGCTATTATTTACTAAAACAGCTATAATGGCTATTGAAGTCTGAACAACCTATTAAGTTTGTGGCCAAAGAGTCTAAGATAGAATATAAGCAGAATATAGAGGGATAGGTGAGCAACACTTGGATATTAGCTTACAGATGCTAATTTAAAGTCAAATTTTTATTTCTACCTCATGTACTATAAATATATATCTTAGTTTTGATTGAAGACTAAAATATGAGTACTTAATACCTATTGCACATAATATAATAGCTAATGACTTATAGTATTTGTTTTTACTAGCTCTCTCAGTCCTAATCTCACCTCTAATTATAATAGATTATGAGTCCTATAATTATCACTGATATTATGCTCTCTAGCACCAACTCTTCACTATTCAATGTCTCCAAACCTACCAAGAATAACTTGATTCGATCACCTATAAGAAGCAAACATTATAATAATAAGCACTAGAAGCAATAATGACAATGGAATCTATAATATTATGGGCCAATGATGCTAGCTTTGAAAATTCATTTGATGAGAAGGGTCAACTAATGACAGCTTACTTTGAGAAAAGAGTATTAAGCCCAGCTGTATAGTATCCTCCAAAGTTCTTAACTAGAAATCTTTCCAACTATGTACCTAGCCCTGATGCCGCCTTTAGGTTGAGGTGGACTGTAGCTGATATGGAACAAGCTAAGAAAGAGGGCTTGAAAGTTTACTAGAAGGACATTCTAGTGTATCAGCTTACTTTTCTCAATAACTTTAGTGTACTAATTAACTTTGTGCTAGCCTAATGTTCTACAAGAGGTTCATTATGCTATCTAAGTTCATTATTATAATCTCCATCTTCAGAAAAATAGCTCATTTGAAGATAATTCCAAAGATACTCTTAAAATGTTTGTTTATAACCAAACTGTCTACATTCATAGGTCCAAAGATATTGTTTCTGAATGTACTGAAGTCAGCCATCTTGTCTATGTAAAGTGCTTTCCTACACTTTGCATTACCTAATAGAAGACATCATCTGTGTTAATTTCTACATCCTTGCTTCTCTAGCTTCCTCTTGGGTCAAATATGTTTATTCTACAAGCATAGCAGCTAGGCTGTATCAAGATCTTAATACAAATTTATCTGTTTGATATATTTGATATATTGCCTATTCAAAATTAAATTCCTTCAATAAGAACATTATTGAATGAATTGAGTACATAATTTTTGTTTTCAAACCTTGATATCACTGGCTTTATTGCATCTCAGCTTCTGCAAATGATAACATAAGTTAATCTATATAAGCCCAGTCTTGTCTTTGTGGATTTCGTAGATTTCTGCCTAAACCTTATTGATAATAGAGGGCAAAATCATCAAGTATAAGACATGATTAGTAGCCAAAGGATACTCACAGATACCTGACATGGACTATACTAACACTTTCTCCCTCCCCAGTTGTTCATTTAGAGACGATACAGTCCATTATGTCGACAGCTGTAATTCTTGATTAGGAAATTCAGCAGATAGATGTAAAGGGCGAGTACCTAAATAGTACACTAAAGGAAGAAGTGTACATGGAGCAGCCAGAGGGGTACAACGATGGCACTGGTCGAGTTTGCCGACTTAAGAAGACCCTATATGAACCAAAACAATCTAGGAGAGAATGAAATATTAAGCTTGATAAACATCTGAATAATATTGAATTCAAACGTACAACATCAGATCTATGTATATATATTAGACATACAGTGAACAAGACAGAAATCATTACCCTTTGGATAGATGATTTACTCCTATTTGCAAGTAATACAAGCTTGATGAGCCAACTCAAAGCACAGTTAAAAAGTATCCTGGATGTTACTGACCTAGGAGAACCAAGAAAAACCATAGGAATAGAGATAACGAGAGACCAAGCAAAAGGATCAGTCCAAATCTCACAGACCAAATATATTGAGTCGATCCTACAAAATATGGTCTCCAAAAGTCGAACACTGTAGGAATGCCATTAGATCCCAAGATAATACTTGAAAGAGAGGAAACTGACCAAGAGGGCAACCAAAATCACGGTTACACATCCTTAATTGGATCTTTAATATATTTGGCAGTTGCCACAAGACCAGACATAGCATATGCTATTCAAAGACTAAGCTTGTTCACTGTAAATCCAGGATTAGCACACTGGATAACTAAAACCAGATCATGAAAGACTCACACAAAGTCTAGGTATGTCTCTTGATTGAGGGGGAGTGTTATTATAGCGAGTACAACTTGACAATCAACACACATACTGAAGAGATAATCTGTGCATTGACGAAGTAGCAGAATTTTGGACTCATCTGAGTTTAGAATAATATGTGTACACAACAGAATAAACTGAAAATAATAATGCCCACCTTTGCATCTCCTATTGCCAGTAATAAAAAGGAAAAATAATACACTTAATATCTCTCGTTCATATTCATATTCACATCACTGCAGAAGGTCATGGCATGGAGAAAGGCTATTGGGAGAGCTACAAGCATAATATGGCTATTATAGTATTTTATTTCCTTGTCTGTTTTTTCTATTTGATTCATTGACTCAATATCATCACATTTATGGGATGATTTAGGAAACATGTGCTCTAAGTTCACAAAAGCAGCCTGCCCAATTGTTCAAAGTCAGTGTAAAGAGTAGATTCATTGTAGGCGCTACAAAATGTTTTACCTTAGAACTCAATGTGCGAGTGTAATGCTCGTCCCAAAGAGACTGCCTATAGAATTATCTCTTGATATAAATGCAAGGGATATCTTGTTAAGATCGAAGATGAGAATAGGAAAGGTTACCCAAAGTGTGTCTTGAGTTCCAAAGATGCGTCCAAAGTACTGAAGTACTTGTCCGATGCAAGCGAAGGTGGTCCAAAGTCAAGAAACAAAGGTCTGAGGTTGTGTGAAGTGTTTGATAGACGTCCGACGAACAGCGAAGGTTCCGAGAGAGAAATACAGCAGATGTGTTGAAGTGTGTCAAAATATGTCGAAGTATAAGACTAGCAGAGGTACCGGGGTATGACTAGACAAAGTCTATCGGAAGAACTGAGAGATATCAAGATGTGAAATGGCAGCGGTCAGGCCAAACAATCGTTCCAAATGAACAAAAAGATCGATTGCGCGAAGTATGACTATCCGAAGTGACTCTACAAACTATGACTCGTAGCAAGGAAAGTGAAGTGCAGTGCGAGTATCTAGCGAGTCAGATTATATCCTACAGCGTGAAAGTCCAGAATCTGCATAGGCAAAACCAGTAGCAAGATAAGCTATCCGAAATGTAATAAGACTCAAGGCAAGCCGCTACAGAGATATGCATGTAATAGCACACGAGGCATGCAGCTATACATATTAATCAAGCTTTTCAATGTATGTGCCCCTAAGACATAATCAATAACAGATAAACCAAGTAAAAACACACCAGCGAAGTCAAATGGACACGGAAAGGACATGGTACAGAGGATCAGATGTGTATACAGACCTCGGAAGGGGACGGACGGCCTCTGGACTACTCAGATGAGAGCGCGGAAACTCTCGGAAGGTATAAGGAGTGTCGGGGAATATAAATGTGAGACACATACAATTTAGGGAGGGTATGCGACCAATGCCAGTCCGAGTGTTACATCAGTACAAGTTTTTCTGCAAAGCTGATGAAATAGAAGACAACAATGATACCATGGAATATATTTGCACTTGTCTTGCAAGTATAGCAGACTAGGCTGTGCTAGACCACAACAATTATATTTGGCTGAGTGCTTACTGCATGTTATGCTCAGTCATTGTTGTATTGTTACACCAGTACCATGATTACACCATTGCCATTGCCATTGCATTTCATACATCTACTGATCATTATGTTGCATAGTTAAATACAATCCCATATGGTACACAACCTGTATGATGAATGATACATGTTTACCATGCTTGTGTTGCTACTGTAAGTCTTGCACTATGTGCTGTGCAGGTCTGTCCTAGTTCTGTCCCAGTTCTTTACTGACAGAACCCTTGCTGTGTGCACTGAGGTGCTGTGCAGTGCTGTCTAGACTATCCTTGTTTGCTGATGTATGATCATATATAGAAAAGGTTTTCGTTATATTAGAATATAAAGTCATATAAAGCCATGTATAACATCAACAATCAACGTAAATCACCCTGGGGAGACTCACGAGTTCTCTGATGAATATGTAGGGAAACCATGTACATTGTAATGTGATAAAACACAACTCACATTCTATTTCTTTGCTGCAGCTGCAATTCCCTGAAGAATATGTAGCTCATATGTTGGGTCTGACGAAGCTCACAGCCTTCCTTGTCTACCACTGCTAATGGACCAGCATCATGGCTGCACCACTGGTAGTCAGCACTTCTAAAGTGTGCAATTTGAAACTCCATCATGACATGTATCCACAATTACCTGGGGGGATAATGCATTATTGTCATATCCCGCATTCCGGACCAACATCTGACGACGTTCCCACGCCTCATCCGGACCTCCGGACCTCCTGTCCATGTCTCCAGACCCAATCCTCTATCCGTCCGGATCCCTGTACTCCTGCATCTGATATCCGGACGCCAGATCTGATATCCACATCTCCGGATCTCCGGATCCGACCTATCTGTCATGTCCGAACCCAAACCTTAAATCAGCGCCCATCCCCTTATGGTAATCACCTGTCTCCGGACTTCCGAACATCCGGACCCGACCCACGTCTATCTTCCTTGCGTTCCGGACCCAGACCTATCACGCATTCATCTCCGGACATCCGGATCCGACCCGCGTCTATCTTCCGTGCCTTATCCCTTTGTATGTTCCTTCTTGAGTTAGACTTCCTCATTTTCCGTACCTCATTTCATCTCCGAGTTCATTTCCTATGATCCGTCTTATTTTCTAATACATTTCCACATGCTCGTACATAGCCTTACCCCTCTGCTTACTGATCTGCACAGACTTGCCTCTAGTATATAAACCCCAGTAGATACTCCTGTATTTCCTCAGTCTGAATATCATACACATATTAGTCCTTGCACTAGTCTTCACACTAAGTCCTCGTAACAGTTCTATTCCTCCGACTTAGTAATCATCCATCTCAGGCCTAGGGAGAAATTCCCTAGGCCGGAGCTCCGCTTCTCCGATCCTCCGCTCATCCGCTCATCCACTCATCCGATCCTCCATTCCTCCGAGTTTCCGGAAGTTCCTCCGGAACTTTCCCGCGGTCCTCCGGACCTATCCTGCTTCGGACTTTGTCCTTGCAGCCGTTCCTCTGTTTCCTTCTACTCAGGACTCGTCCTGAGTAGCCATTATACATATCCCTGTCAGGACGAAACTCCATCGTAATTTCCGGAAGTTCCTCCGGAACTTTTCCGCACTCATCCGGAAGTTTCTCGCACTCGTCCGGAAAGTCCTTCCGAAGTTTTCCACGCTTCTCCGGAAGTCCTTCGGACTTCACTGGACTTTCTCCGGACTTCATTCTGAAGTTAAGGGCACATACTCGGGTAAGGGGCGCAGCGCACGAGCTGAAGCCAAGCCCCTTGGAATCAGTCCTACCCTTTGTGCATGGTCTTAACAATTATATATGATAGTTACAAGACACATTTATTGCATTAACCATTGTAACTACAAATCACATAAATGCATTACTTTGTGATAATAACAAGACATTCTGCTAAATATGCTATAGTGACACAATGCATCACTTTGTGATAATGACAAGACACACTGCGGAGTATGCTATAGTGAATCCCAATAGGCCACTCGCATAGGAATCAAGGGGGAGGAAATTTAGAGACTGTAGGCAAAAAATGTATTATTCACATCATCTCAAAATGGTCAGCAATATTGTTCCTAAGTTCAGCCTACTGACATGCATAGGCAACCAGACCCTCATTCTCAGCAGTACCACTAAGTGTGCAACCACTTTTCTTATACCACTACTCTGTATGCCACCTGAGGAATTGAAGAACCCTACACATCTCTTCGTGAAGCAATTCAACCTCTTCTGTCCATCACATAGACTGGGCCTAGGCCTTACACCATTTAATTCTGAGATCTGTAAGCTGCATCAGTATCCTTTATTTGTTTATGACTCATATTCAAACTTACTATCTTGTATCACCTCATTCTGATCATCTCCGACTCCTTCCACTACCCAGATCCACGACAACTGTCTCCTCCATTTGGTCTCACCTTTTTTAGGTGCTGATATGCCTCATACATTAGTACATTATCCTTTTTGTTGAGTTTCTTATATTTGTGATTTCAGCCAGTCATTTCAAGTGAGGGAGCAAGGGCAGAAAGTGCTTCATGAGCAGCATGATACTTGTTGGCTGCAGTGGATGCCTTAGTAATGACTTAAGTAAGAGCATTTTGTGCCTGTGTGTTTACACTCTGACCACACATCTAATCTCTCTTAAATGTATACATAAGATCATGTAGGTGGAGGCTCTGCCGTAGCTCCTCTAATGCATCCCCAGCCTGAGCAAAATGTAACTCTAATTCAATGGTCTTAACACAAGTATCACAATGCATAGATTTGGTGCTCATAGCTAATGGCAAATAGAGATTCATGTCTTCTAGTGTGATGGGGTCCAGGGAGAGTTGGAATGAATCCAGACATTGTAGTTAGACTGCGGAGGTGTAGAGCACCTGTACATGCTTCCATGCATCAATTTTCCCCTGCAGAGAGTTCCACTGTTGCTATATGGTAACCTTCTGTGTGTCCATAACATGCATACCAAGCTTGGTAATATCTGCCTTCAAATAATGCCTTCAAACAAATAAGTGAGGTACCCAGCCTATAAAAAAACTACATACTGTTCATCTTTAAAATTGATGTCAGATGCAACAAAGATGCTAGGTGATATGTTAGAGTAGAAAGATATGTCGATACCTTGCTGTAGATCATAAGCCTCTATTTCTGCAAGCTTCAGTCGAACGGCAGCTTGAGTAATAGCTGTTGATTTACATGTCAGTGATCAAATCAACAATATGAAAGACCAGCACTTACGAGTGACCTTCGGTTCAAATGGGTTAGCAACTAAAGAGTCATTGGGGTTGCATTCCTAATACTCAATTGCCAATTTCCAGGGATCTGACACCTCAGGTGGCAAAGCACTATCTAGTTCCTCAAAAGCAATTCTATGAGCTTCTGCCTCTTCCTGACCCTTGACCATCTTTCGGAGTAATGTTGCACCTGTGGAAAGATGAGGCAATGAAAGTATGAAGTCATTCACCTGTTATGCACCAAGTCCAGCTATTTTTTTCCAGTTCTAATTATCAAAGTGATCATCTAAAGTATTCCATCAAGATCCAGGGCTCATTTCCTTAGTGCTGGAGGCAACCGGGTTTATATTTGACCAACCACGTTCAGGAGCTTCACCATTCATTTGTCCAACATGGTTTAAGAAGTTGAAAGAAAACATTGTTTGACACTTGAAAATGTGGGCTGGCAGATGGAATTTTGGTAAGAAGAACCTTATATTTTTGCGGAATGGTCAGGATGAAGTTTGGAAGGCATGGCTGACATTCTCTCTCAGAGATTCTTGTGCCACTAGCATGCAATATTGTATGAAATATTGAGGGTGTTGATGTTGTGCACATGGAGAGTTGAAAAGAACAGAAAATCCATATTAGTGTATCTATATCTACCAGTCAGTGCCAATTGTCTTTTACAAGCTGTTGTATGTACCTTTCACCTTTTTGCAGGTCACCAACACTGTTTGAGAGTTTCATATTGTGTTGTGCGCAATCAATGGTTCCAACTCCCATTGCAGCTAGGCCCTGGAATGCCTTTGTGTCAGCCATGTTTACCACATTATGCAATGAACATGTGCTTTTCTATCAAAGCCCATCAGAGTGATTTATGACAGACTCATATAATCAAAGCTCACCTGTTGTAGTGTACCACCATGAGATTGTAAATATGCCTTGTATGTCATCTCCTCCACAAAATATGCTCATCCATAACTAAGGCCAGGGGTCTGAACTGTCCTTCAACACCATGCATCGTTTGAGTCAAAAATTGGCATCAATGCCTAAAAAAAGTCCATACAACCAGCTAAATAATCATCAGCTACCTATATGAGTGTAGATAGAAGCTGTTTAAACTGTGTTTCTTTTGGTGTATCTTTCTAATTGTCAGGAAGGTTTCTACCAGGCTGCGGACAAGCTGGACACAGTATGGCACATTCACCACTCTCAGTATTTAGTATTCTCCACACCAGCAGGGTCATAACCTCGGCCTGCTCTCTTAAGCATTTTCAGATGTCACCATTTATGGACAATTCACATAAATGCCTTGTAACAATCCTAGTGAGGTGAATAAGATAAATGCTACACATTAATACATTAAACACACCTTTCAAAGTCGGAGTCCTGTATTATCAGTCAGATGAGCAAGAGAATGATAAAATTCATATTCTGAAACTTTGGATTCAAATGATAGTAAGTGATATTGTTCAATGATTCTGAAAGTAGCTACAGTGCATAGATTGGTGGGTGTTGGTGGAAACCAAGCTGTGCGAAGCAACTGCTTGACATGCCTCTCAGCAGTCTCACAGCCACAGAAGTTGAGACTGATCTTGTATATGCCATTGTTGTTGATAAGGATAAAATCATTGTTAAACACTTTTTGAGGCAGCAAGCAGTCTTCACCTGCTGGATGACAAGCTGCATCTGCAACCCTAGTTTCTTCAGCGAGATGGGTACAAATGAAATACCCATCCACTCCTATAATAAGGTATCTAACCTAAGTAAATGTTGTATTGTGCTGCAAGGAACTTGTACCTGAATTTGATGTCTTTGCGAGTCGCTAGGACGCAGTCTGACACTTCAAAAACAAAACATGAAATGATATTGCCGCCACTATCGTTCTACGAAAGTGTTGTGTCTACGACTGAGACAGATATAGTACTGAGCAGTTTGGGCGAAGGCGTGCAGCGCCTCCCAGTGACCTGCACCAAACTGGTTCGGTGCATGGATGACTAATACTCTCCTAAGAGCCCTATACCCTATGAAATCATTTTCCCTGTGACCTGAAGTCAGACCAAGGCTAAGGGAATATTTTTCGCTCTTGGTCACTTTTGTGTCATATCCCGTATTCCAGACCTACATCCGACAATATTCCCACACCTCATCCGGACCTTCGGACGCCCTATCCATGTCTCCAGTTCTCTACCCATCCGGATCCCTGCACCTCTGCACATCCACATCCGCACATCCATGTCCAGATCCCTTTACCTCCGTACATCACACCTCCATACCTCCGCAGCTAGCCTGCATCATTCATCCTTTGTCCTATTGCCCTAATATCATATCCCATATATCCACGCTTCTTGTCCGGACATCCGGTCCGATCCGATATACGATAAGCTTCCTAATTCATTTCCTGTGCATATAACGTTGACACAGCCTATTCCTCTATTCGGTATTCCTTGTCCTCGGTATCTCGGTTATACTTACTACCGGTATGCTTACTGATCCGTTAACCTATGCTTCATTTCTGACTCGCGCTTGATAACTTTGCTTATGCTTCATACATAGCCTCGGACACTTGCTTACTGATCTTTCCGTTATTTCCTTAGTATATAAACTCTTGTATATGTCCTGTAGTTCCTCAGTCTGAATATCATATTAGTCCTTGCACTAGATCTCACACTAAGTCCTCACATCAGTTCTAGTCTATCGACTTAGTCAATATCCATCTTGGGCCTAGGGAGAAATTCCCTAGGCCAGAGCTCTGCTTATCCGCTCATCCGATCCTCCGAAGTTTCCGGACGTTCGTCCGAAACTTTCCCACGGTCCTCCGGACCTATTCTGCTTTGGACTTTGTCCTTGCAGCCTTTCCTCTGTTTGCTTCTACTTAGGACTTGTCCTAAGTAGCCATTACACATATCCGTATCAGGACGAAACCTCATCGTAATTTCCGGAAGTTCCTCCGGAACTTTCCTGCACTCGTCCGGAAGTTACTCGCACTCGTCCGGAAAGTCCTTCCGAACTTTCCCACGCTTCGGATGTCCTTGGACTTTCTTCGGACATCATTCTGAAATTAAGGGCACATACTTGGGTAAGGGGCGCAGCGCACGAGCTGAAGCCAAGCCCCTTGGAATCAGTCCTACCCTTTGTGCATGGTCTTAACACTTTTGCAAGTTTGCATGCAAGCAGGCTGAATATTTTAGTACATTTAATTCTGCAATGAGTTTTGCTTAGTCAGCCATGGTGATGACCCAGACAAAATCCCGCACATGTCAGGTGACTGTGAAAAATATTTCCCACATATGTTGTCCTGGAAAAACATTCGTAAAACCCTAAATACTAGGCTCGCGTCATTTTCACCCTTCACACAAAGCAAAGAAAAGACAGACACACAAAGGATTCACATCATGTGACATTTCTTACTCTCTTTCTGGACTTGTCATCAGGAGTTGGATAGGTCACATGACTAGCAACAAGCCAGGATGGCTTAGCAAAATACCCAATGACTCACTATGACTAGAAATAACTTTGAACTGACTCACTATGACTCACCCTGAATATATGACTCATTATGACTCTTTATGACTCTTGAATATACTAGTAGCACAGCCACATTTATTGTGTATATAATGACCCCAGTTTTGAAATAAGCAAAAAACCAAGTGGGAGTTTTCAGCCCATCTAACATTAAGTTGTGAGTAAGGTGTGATAAGTGTCAGCATCAGTGTCAAGAACTGTTCAAGACTGAGAGGAACATTCTCAAGAGACAGTAATACTGCAAGCTCATCATACTAAACAACTAGCTGCGAGCTCACTGTGTGCAACAACCAGCAAGCAAGGTACAGCCACAGTTTTATTCAAATTTCTATTTTCTTTTTCTTTTCTTTTCTCTTCTGTTTTACTTTCACCAGCCTTTGGTGTTCTTTTTCCAAAAAGCATATTCCAAAATATTCGTGTTGTCTCTACGTCCACCTAAGACTCAGAGTAGCTTAGTGGGGAGACTTAAGGGATTGATAGTGAAGCTTGACCTCACTCATCTGAGTAGTGATACTGAGCCAAGGTTTGCTGTGTCTGCTAGGCTTTAGCTGTTGAAGAGGGGACTTGGTAGTAAATCCAAGGACGTCCGTTCCTGAGTCTGTTTGAATACTCAAAGTGAGTTCCTTGACAGCAGGTTCAATATTGAGCTAAGAGTTCTACAATAAAGCATTTGACTAGTCTTGACCTTTGATTCTACCTGTTTTGTGCTGAGGGGGTTGATCATTGTAATTCCGCACCATTCTTTTTGGAGTACAGTTCGGTAAGAGGCCCTGTTGTTGAAAGGAAGCTTGAGGGAGAACTTTCTATTTCTTTGGTTACTGCCATACTGTCGGGCTGACCATTATTTGTTTGTTTGTTTGTTTCTGTCAAGTTCATAGATTGGATTGACCATCGTATTTACTGATCTTGCAGAAGTACCTTTAGCTGAACGTACTTTGGGTAGTATACAACTAGCCACCCACGAATGACCACATTATCAGTCATTGGTATTTGTCTGAATCACTGACCATGGAGATATTTGTTTTTATAGGTGTTTATCTATAGATCATCTATCTAAGAAGACACGGTCCTGAGCTGCGTATCCTGCAGGAAAAAAGGTGAGCTGCGATTCCCATAGCTGTAGGAGTCCGACGACGCGTCGAGCGAACTGAGAACACCTATAGCACTAGGAGGAGGGCATGTACTCACTAGGAATGTTTCTTTATCGAACACAGGGCATTGTGTAGCACAAAAATTCGTCTTGAATTGCAGGAGTTGCTTGCAGGTATGGTGCCAGAATTTGAGCATGCTCTCTAAGATAACTTTGGAAGGCATCACTGGCCCATCGTCCCATGGTTTTGACAATGTCAAAAGGCACATTTCGAAGGAGGTATTCTAACGTAGCGCCGATTCTTATGGTGTGACCCTGCAGGGGGTCCAAACCAGCGCTTTTGGCTGCGAGTACCAGTCGAGCGATGAATTTCGACTTTGTTAAGGGGCGGTGAGTATTGCCGAATTTGTATGAGAATAATGCGCTGTCAGGTGGGGGATCATTAATGCGGAAATGATTGGCTAAAGCTGCTTCTGGATCAGTTGGGCCGTCCTGTCGTGCCCAGAACACATCTTCCCCGGTTTGAGATGTTTTCGTGCGAGGTACACAAAATACTGTGGTAGTGAGGCCACCGCGATCTGTTTCCTTACGGATGTTGGAACGTTTGACGTGAATGGAAGAGTCGAACACTGTAAGGCTTCGAACTGTAAATTCTCCAGCCCGCACAATGGAATAGAAGGCGGTTGTGAGGCAACTCCCTACTGCAGCGTCGAGAGGAATATTGGGGTCCAGCTCTTGTAAGATACTGGTGATGAAGGCTACCGTGTACAATGGCCGTTTCTTCCGTTTTGACGATGATGGGGTGAGGTTCTTTGCAGCTTTCAACATGGCGTCTATCTGATCGTCAATTAAGCACCATGATTTCCCATGCAAGATGTGCCAAGCGCGAATGCCTTGGATGTAACCTGATATCGTTTTTCCTGAATATGAACTGGCCAAGTCTGATATGAAGGCTGAAATGAGTTCGGAGGATGCTGGAGCGCGCAGGTTGTCTTCCACGGCTTTCGAGTCGCAATATATACATGAAAGGCGAGGATACTGCTACTGTATGCTTCCCTGGTGCTGCTGGCCCATGCATGAATCATGACGTCCTGGATACGTTGGGCGTCGGCGTGAGGCACACGGACTGATGCTGTTCTATCTCCTATTGGGAGCCACAGACGAAGCCTGTCTCTGGCAGCGCAGTGAGGGTGCAAGGAGGATATTTGTGGGGTAAGATTGTCAGGATAATCCACTACTAAGTGATATTTTAATGAAGCGAAAGCTGTATGGTTGTGCACGGCAACTTACTAAGCCTGCGTCGTTTCGAAGATTTTCTCTCCTTGACGACGGATCTCGTCGTTGAGATTATTGCGGGAGGCTTGGGAGCGGGAGTGAATACTGCTGAGTGGCTGCGTTTTGATGCTCTTGCGGGGTGTATGGCATACAGGAGGGATTGTGGGATCGTCAAAGTTCGCGATGAAGGGTTGGAGAGCTCTGGGAATGCATATTGGGCGGAGCAGTAAGCTCGAGGGTGGGTATATTCCTCTGGATGGGCCATCCACTGGATTGTGGGCACTGGGTACAAAGTGAGTGAGGAAAGTGCACTGTGAAGATGCGGCAAGCTCATGGATACATTCGAAGACGGTGTTAGTAGCTTTGTTTCGACTCCAGCCTTTCCACCAGCCTTCGACGACTCCCCGGTTGTCGCTGAAAATTTTAATGCAGCTGCCATCTGGGCTTTGACCGAGGAGTGTGATAATGAGGAACTCCATCCCGACTGCCTCTGCCCAACCGATGTCTCGATTCTCATCTTTCCATCCTGAGAGGAGCCGCCATGCTCTCCATCGACTGTTGATCCAAATCGTGATGCCAGTACCTGAGCTAGCATCTGAGTAAGCCGAGGGGTCAATGACTTCGACGGGCCCTGGAATGGAACGAGCGACGATGGGCTGCTGGAGACTGGCTTTCCACCAGCGGAGGTCTTCTCCTGTGTGCTTGGGAGGGGAATGTGGCATGTGCGGACGATTGTGAAAGATGGATAGCATGGACTCGAGGGAGATGAGATAGGCTCGTCCAGCAGGTAGAACCAAGGATGCGTGCAAAAGCTTTCCATATAGTTCTTGTACTTCTTGAAGGGTGTGCGGGGACCGAGCTTCCCAGTCTCGAATGGCGGCCAGGTATTTTTCCTTCTTCTTCTTTGGAATAGAGACAGAACACGTTGCAATGTCCCAGAGGAAGCCGATGAAGGGGGCACACAATGAAAAGAAGATGTCCTTCGCCAGCTCCCAAGGGATTCCCAAAATTTTGGATAGGCGGTCGATGTCGTCGAAGCAATAGGTGAAGAGTGCGTCCTCTGGTGAACGAGCGGATGCTGTTGATAGATCAAGGATGGGGAATGATAAATCTTCGTCGAACTCTTCGACTCCATTGTCTGGCATGGTTGAACCTCGATACCATTTGCGCCCTCCATCAATGAGCAGTCCCCCATTTCCAGCAATGATAGCGGAGCGAGTTCTACGAAGGTTGTTATAAACTTCAAGATGTTCTCGAAGGATGCGAATAAATAAATGGTCGTCCACCCATTTGGATAGCGGACCAATACCTTGTGATCTGAAGATGTCGGCGCCCGCATCTGCGATCTCACCATAACTCCCTGTGGAAGCAGAGAATCCGAAGCAAAAGCTCAAGTCAATAGCGAACTCGTCCTCTCCCATTCTGACGACCAGGCCTGGCCATTGTGATGGATGTAGGGGAATGTGTGATAGGCTTCCGCCACGTCGCGAACTGCTGCCTGCGATCCTGGGGGAAGGGACCAGATGAGAAGGCATATGGTTGATGCTGTTCCCCAGGTGCAGGGGTAGAGGTCAGAATCGATAGAAGAATTAATAGAAGATATGGTATCGGACGAGTATAAAGGAAATGAGAGGTTTTGTACGAGCCGAAACTTGCCTGGCTTCCCTGGTTTAGGGACCATGGAAAGCGGGGCTGTCTGGAAAGGACCGATGAGTTTTTCTGTGTTTGATTTGGATAAGGGGCCGATGTAGCGTCCAGTAGCGTATTCTCGATCCAGTATGGTAGTGAAAGCGTCAAAGTGTGTGTATAACGAAGGACTATTAGGTGGTGTGTATGTGCAGGATATTCTGGGACCGCTTCCCATGAAACTGATGCATAAACCATTGGGAATATGTGCATATTTGTCGATGAGGTGCGAAGAGCGAAGAAAATGTAACCATGCTTCAGGTTGATATGGAGTGAGTGCCCTACATGCTCTCGCCTTGAGGACACTCCTGAGCTCCATGATCTTTTGCTCTGCATCCAGAACATTCGTGGACGTGAGATCGGGCTGTGTTGGAACACCCTTTCGGTCTTTGCCAGTCGTAGCAGAGTTCGAGGCCCTCGGGATTGACCAAGTGACCCTCTGTGTTTCAACGGCATCGAGTTTTGGTTTGCTTGTCCCAGAGAAATTTGGAGGTGCATTTGTGAATGGGGTGACGGAAGCGGCCAAGGCAGAGGGCGCAGGCCGAAGAGCCTGATTGGCCTGTGCCCCCTTGAAAAGACTGTTGGCCTTTGTGAGGCTTTTTAGCGATTTGATTGGTTGAGCGGTAAGGATGGTAGTGTTTGTCGTCAGCGGGAGAAAGCGGGTCTGTTTGCTTCCCCCAGTTCACACTGACTTCTCAATCTCGAGGGCGAGATGAGAAGTTGGTAGCTGGCAGTGCGTTCTGTAGCTGTATGGCATGAGCAAAGGAGCCAATCCAATTGGATGGGCGATAGCATTATTAGGGAAGCGAAGATTACATGTATGCGTGAGCATATGTGCAAGTGATCATAAGCATAATATTCAAGTTAGCGTCGAGGTGTGGGTAGCAGTGTCGTGAAGTAGCGAAGAAAAGGGTTGAAATGAAGCAAGGGCGGGATTAAGCCCAGGTAGCGAGCAGTGTTGGTAGCAAAGTTCAAGGGAAGCAAATGGAGATGCGTGTCACAAGACAATGCGAACAATGAAAGAAAGGAAAAAAGGTTGCGTTAATGTTTGAACGATTTTGCTAAAGATTGAGATGATGCGTACCAATTTCAGACTCTCGTCGTGCTCTGCCTCCCATATGTTGTCCGATAAGGAATTGTATAGCATATTGTTGAATATGCCGATATTGAATCCTTGGTTCTGAACGAGCCGGTCATGCCATTCACGATGAACTGTTCCTGCGTAACGCAGCAGGGTCTTCTCACCCCGGGGACGCATCCGATGTTCATGGTTGGTGATGAGCGTGAAGAACAGAGCGAGTGCTTGCTGATGCTTCTCTGGCCATCCACTTTTTTCTATGTGGACGAGGAAGCTAGTCTTCGCCAAATCGAATTGTCGCCACGATAGATCGTGGTCCTGCAAGGCCTTGCTGGAAGCTTTGAATGATGCTAGCATTTTGAGGGCAACCATGCCGTCAACTTTTGCAAAGCCAAAAGCGTCGTCTGAGTCTGACGTGGATCTAGAGGTGATGGAGGCTTCGCGGCAGCCGTCAGGACTGAAGTACCAAAGTTCTACGTACTCCATGCTTTTTATCTTCTGGATGGCGTATTGTGACGGTCGAGGAATGATCACGTCTGCCACAATTGCTCCTGCATCGAAGTCGTTAATCTTAGGCTTCTTCTTCTCCGCTTCGCGTTGTTCCTCCTGCTGCTCGGCTTCCTTCTCGGTGTTCTCACGCTCTAGGTGTTCCTGCAGGATGCAAGCATCTTCTACTGCCTGTTCCTGCCAGAGAATGATTCGCTCTTGGCATTTGAATCTCCATCCTTCTGCCATGTTGGCAAGGGCATCATCTCTGGTTATGCCTTGTGCGACAAGGGCGTTTAGCCAACCTTGGTATGCGGCTGATTCAAAGTTGGGCTGTGCCTCTAACGCTGGATCAGTTGAAATTCGTTCCATGATGTATCAGAAGAATTTGGGTATACAGTTCTTCTTCGGAGTTTGTTCCTGAAGAAAGGGAAAAGGGTAATGATACCTGATCGTTGGTACGGATGTGAAAGGAAAAGAAGGAGGGAAGACAACGTCGTTGAGGACGACTGATATGAGAAGAAGCGTTGTCGCAGTACGAAGGCAAAAGGTTCGTACTGCTTCCGACGCTTGTGCAAAGACCTAACTCTAGTTCTCCGCTCGTGCCTCGTTACGTAATAGACTATCAATATTGGATTTTTGATGTACGATGCAAGAACACAGTTATGGAAATACAACTCAGCGCCAAAGCAGTCCCTGTAGCAAAACTGTGGAGTGTCAGAGTAACAACTCCTGCAGGTAGTATCATCTATATGATCTCTATGACCCTCATTTCATAGCAGCTCCTGCAGAAAAAAGTTCTGATCCTCCATCTATTTCAACAGTGGATGATCCTAATTAGAAGGGTGAATAACTTTAGATGTATAGCCTATTGTACATTAAGAAATACTTACACCTGCTATATGATTCTGTTTATTGCGCTATTAGTCACTTCTGAAGCTTCAACCTCAATGTCAGGTTCCTGCACTTCCAAGGAGTAATTGCCACAATCTAAGGTTGGGCCTCCATCCACTCTGCTATCAACCTGCTGACTCAGATCTGATGAGGGTTGTGAACTGAGAATTTGTGAACTTTATATGGTCAATCCTCGATGTCATGAAACAAAGGTGTATGATGCATGGACACTTGGGGCACTAGGGTTAGGAGGTCTGAATATATTAAGCTTAACTCATTTGCGACTTTCATGTGACATGGTGTGGCTTTCAACATGCTGTCAGTATGGCCTTACCCAATTTATGTCCTTTGATGGCCTCATGTTGTTCATTTGATGGCATCATTGCTAAGTTAAATTTCAGTATCTTGCAACCTTGATGATGATATACATGGTCATGGGTGGCTATACAAATATTGTCACTGTATTACATGATCTACATAGTGTGAACTAAATATTCAAAAGACATGAATGGTCTGAATGCAGGTGATCTAATTGCAAACATACCTATGGCTTGTAACTCCTAAACTCTCTGGAGCTGTATACACCCTTCCCTAGCACTCCTCACAGCTGTAATGGCTATCTTGCCTGATGCAAAAGGTATAGTTGTCAGATGTCTTTGAAGGAATTCCTGTGGCCTATGGTAGTAGTGGGTTTTTCTGTGTCATGGCCATGAGGACCATATATTATGTAAGACATGATCTATGTGAGTTTTCACTCATGAAATGCATTAGGTCTCTTGCCATATACATTATGTATTACTGATGCATATGCTCTAAATCCAGCCTCAAAACAGCTTGGGCTCCTTCATTTAAAGGCTGAGAAACAATTACTCATAATGCATGCCTCCACCCCTACCTATGGCTTTGCAATCACCACCAGTGCCTCTGTTTATGTATCAAACACTTTCCTCTTCATCATTCTTGATACCTGTACCACCTGCTCTTGGTGTGTGCTCTCAAATAATGTGCCTGTCATCTTACTGTATATTTAAGCTATCTGTACCATTATGCATTGTCACCAATACTCATCAGAAGATTGATGTTGGTGCATGTTCTCACCTCTGCAATTGGAATACCTGTCAATGGTCATATCACTTGTTTCAGGTTTGTCTTCTGCAACACTGTACATCGACAACAACATTCATCAGGGGATTAATATTATTGGCACTATCTTTTGCATTTGACCTAGATGTACAATATATCGAGGTCTATAAGAATGAACAACTATTTGCAAAAGTCACTGATGCAATTGTGGACGAATGTATGCTGTACTATCATTATGGTATGTTGTACAATGTGTCAGTGAAGAGTGCCTGGCTTGGACATCATCCACTATTCTTCTATGTTACTTGTGAACACTACATTGGGGTTTTCAGCAGAGAGTAAGTTGTAGGCTTATTAAATTCATGATGTCCATTATCTGTCTCTTTTTCAGGCATGACATTAAACCCATGGTTCAAGAAATCCACCATGCCATATATGCTGAGGTCAAATCACTCAAGGACAGGGAAAAAGCAGTCAGGAGTAGTGTTGCCGCAGTTCCGGTTCATGCCCAGCTTTAGCCGTGAGCGGAGCTATAGTTAGCCAAGCCGCGTACCTAGTTATAGCTTATGTAATTGATGGCTCGGTCTAGTCAACGGAACCATATTAATGGTCTTCAAGTCAGCTCGAGCCAGATTTTTAATTAAGATAAAAATAAATTAGATTACATGAAGGATTTTGATTGACGGACTCCGAGAATGTTCGGGTAAGCATAACACTTACACAAAAAGACATACCAGTAGCACTAGCCCTAACCCAACTTAAGATTGAATCAAAGTACCTGTGTACGAACGTACAACCATCATCCATCCTGAACACAGCGAGTAAGAAATGTGAAAGTAGATTTCTGGTAACTCGAGTCCAAAATATCTTCTGCCGATCGACTCATGCTGATCAACAAGGGATCGAAAGTGGGTTTATTGCCTACAAAAATTTGAAATGAGGTCACAATAGTCAGACAAAAACTTACAATCAGAGGTAAAGCTGTGGTGAAGATCGGAGGGCATGACGTTGGTCGACATCGGATAGGCATGCTCGGTTCCTGCATGTTCGACGCTGTCGTGACTCGTGAGTACCTGCAACAGGCTGGTTGAGAAGCTGGGTCCGATGAGGGTGTCCAGAACATTAAAAACCTCGCTGTGTTGGCATTTAGTCAGTTATGAATGCATGAGTTAGCGCAGTGAGCAATCCAATGAAGTTCTTGAAGTCAACAAGGTCAGAGTGTTCATACTGAGCAAGAAGGTTCGTCATCAATAGAATGAAATGTTGATAACTGAAAAGCGACCTACAGCCGTCTACCTGGAGATAGGGTATTAGCAAGGAGTGCTCTGGCATTCATGAAAGAAGAATCATTGCAGCGCGACAGTGGTTGATATTTGAAGAGAGATGGATTGTGATTCTGCAAGAAAAAAGATCAGTTTAATTGTGGTCAACGGACGGTGCAAGCGAACCATCTTTTCCATGAGGTGGTCTGGTTTCACATCGAGAAGCATTCATTCAGGATATGAGTCGTATCTCGTGAGTGCACTGTCAGGAATTGAGAACCTAGGGCAAAAGACTCGTCAAATCGGCAATGAAGTTAGACTGAGCAACTAACCTGTGGAGAAACAACAGACTTGGCATATGAGTGTTGCCATCAAACTGGCAGCTATTGCTGTTGCAGGTTGGAAGGCTAGGTGATCCCATCACTGCCATTGTGGTCGAGCTGTTGAGCTCGTTGTCTCACGGTTGCCCACAATTCACGTGATGTGTTGTACACTGACTGAGATGTCTGAGTTAACTGAAGGCTAATAAACAAAAGAGTGATTGAACGTACGTAGTTTTCCCTAGAAGCGTTCTCAGGTTGCTGAGTAGGAGTTTGACGTGTTGTACGAAATTGTTTAATGATATAGAACATGTTGTGCACCCAGTTTCTCCATTGCAGTAACTTCTCGCGGACAGCAATCTAGTTACTAACTAAACTAACTCTAAGTAATCCGTTTGTGCACAGAACAACACCATCTGTGCGATTCACGCATCCCCAACATCTCCTGCCCGTTCCACAGCGATAACCTCTAAGTTCGCCAACATGATCTCCTCCTTCATCACTTGCGCTAGCCTGCAAGCAGCTTTCGAGTTAGACGGCGATCATTGCATTTCTGGGAGAACACACACCTGGAAACAAGAAGCCTCAACATCACGAAGGCAAAGTGTGTTGAAAACGAGTTCAATGATGTTAGATGTGAGCTTCTTCGTGGTCTCAAGCTCGAGCTTGGGTATCTCGACACAGGAGGAAAATGTAAGCGAAAAACAAACATCAACATGATAAAGAGTCCGAGACGATCACCTCAATTCAATCTACAATACTAAGAATCATTATCGAATAAACGAACGCAACTATCAACGTCAATCGTGAATCAACGATGGGTCCACAAGCCAATGTAAGTGAATATGCTCACATGTAATGTCGAGAAGGCTCAATCAAAACAGCTGTATTGCAGTATTGATAGAGCTCGCAAGTATCAAGTGGAGCAAGCAGAGATCAGACAATGAACGAGAGAATACCGAAGCCGTAGACCGGCGGAGACGGGCAGGACAGTGGAGATGGGCAGGAGGGTAAACACTGTGGAGGTGGCAGATGTTGTGGAGGTGGTAGATGTTGTTGAGCGGCCGATGAAGACATGGTGGCGTAGGGTGTTGAAGAAGTTGGGTTGGAAGTGAAAGGAACATCGTGCGAGAGGAATGCCACGTGGGAGGGATATGACGCGGGAGGGATATGACGTGGGAGGGATATGACGCGGGAGGGATATGTTGCGGGAGGGATAGCATGCAGGAGGAATAGTAAGGTGAGTATCTGTGTCTGAGGTCAGTTCACAATTGATAATGAAATAGTTTAGAGTCAGTAAAATATATGTACCAATACTACAACAGTAAAGACAGGCATTCAAGTCAAGAAATGCAACAAAAACCACAATGCACTCAATGAGCCGCCTTCATCAGACAGCTGGCAAAGCGAAAGCGAACATCTTGTGCTTTGATGGCGGTGGTACTGGTACAGGCTCATGTTTTGGGATACCTGGAGAGGAGTCAGACAACGAAGCTGAGACTATACAAGTGGTACAGTCCTCCATACCTGGGGGTGTTGGAGGGGATGCCGTTGACGCTGGTACAGGCTCGTGTTTTGGGATACCTGGAGATGAGTTAGATGACGAAGCTGAAACTATGCAAGCGGTACAGTCCTCCATACCTGGGGGTGTTGGAGGGGATGCCGTTGATGCTGGTACAGGCTCATGTTTTGGGATACCTGGCGAAGACGAAGCTGAGACTATGTGAGCGGTACAGTCCTCCATACCTGGGGGTGTTGGAGGGGATGCCGTTGACGCTGGAGACATGGTATTGAAATAGAGTCCAAGGCTACAAATTATTCTTAATGGTGGAACATTCAGTGCGAAGAAGATAGGACTCACCAAATGTACCATCATGATTTCCTGTGTTTGTGAACACTCACCGGTCTGCAGGACCAATGCTGAAACTAAGTGAAAGGCAGACGGTGAATGATGAACAAATATAAAATAGTGCACATAACACGATGCCAGAAGTGTAGTAAGAGAAACAGGCAGCCAAAACAAGTCAAGGTAGTGTGAACAAGGAATGAGCAAAAAATCCACAAAAACGAGTAGGGAAATTCGACATCACAAATCATAGGTGGTAGGAGTATCATCAATGTCATCGCACTCCTCCGCTGCGATAGCTCTGAGAAGAGTGTCGCACACATCACCTGTGAGTTCGTTGCTACTAATTGTCAACATATTGTTAGTCTCGCCTCCTTCGCCCAACATGTTATACTCCATGTCCTTTTGTGATGCAGCCCAACCTTTCATAAAGTTGAGTCGTTCTTTTTCAAGAGGAATTTTACCACCTGCAGGGCCTCCATCAGGACTGGGCTCATGCGATTACGTTTCTTGGTGTCTGTTTCGCTACTGGACAAGAATACTCGTTCACATGGAACCGCAGAGGCCTGTATCGGGAGATAGTCCATGGCAATGCTATAGAGTGTCGGAAATAAGGTCTGTGAAACCTTTTCAACACCTTATGGTCAACAACAATTTGACTTGTTGAGATATGGGACGCTCACCACCCAGAATCTGAGTACATCTGTTCCCTTAGGGCTGAGATTAGCCGTGGTGTAGGCCTCAAATTTTTGCTCGACTGTTTGGGCATTGCTGGTGTGATGCGGCCGGATGTCGATATCAGGAAGTCCATAAAGGCACGAGCCTAGCATGCGTAGTTGTTGCTGAGGCAGTGCATTAGGAGACTCCATAGATGCTGAGCCGTTTCTGATTCGCTTTTCATGCATCTTCATGTGATAACATTAGTTCAAAATTGCACTGTTGTTGGTCAGATAGACATACCAGAGTAATTATATGTTTCTCCACGTCTTCAATCATTTGCGGCTCCCAACGACTGCGAGCCCATGACATTCGCATCGCAGGATCAACCACTATAAACACAATCATGAGCAACCGAACATTACTGAAGGATGCTAGACTCACGCATACTGACTGCATAGGCTTTTGTGGCGCCCATCCTCTCATCATACTTATCCGCCCAAGTCAAACCGATTTGAACAAGAGGCTCGCAATGTGGGACATGTTGAGCCAAAAACTTCCACCGCTCGATCAATGTTTCGAATGCCGGAAATGCACCACTCAGTTTGGGAGTGGATTCACCTGACATGCATTGTTGAGCAGCATGTGGCGCCTAGTATAAAATGAGAAAATGAAATGTGAGTTTCAAGTATAATGTGACCAACCTCTAGGATCACTTCAACATCCTGTAGGAACTGCCACTCCATTGGACTTAGTTTGAACTTGCTGATGGTGCGTTGAGTGGGAGAGTCGAAAAATAAATCTATTGCCTAGACGACTGTTAGTTCATGGTAGACATTTAGTAGGTGCCTTACCTGGCGAAGGGTTCGTAAATGGTTGAGCATGACGAAGACCGAATCCCAACGGGTTGCCTCATCAAGGAGGAGTTCGACAACAGGGAGCTTTAGTTTCTCGCCCATGTCATCCTGGAACCACTCTTTCTCGTTACCTGTAATGATTGTGTCCCTAAAAGAATCGCGTCGCTGGTTTGATGCGCAGACCGTGCGCACGACATCCCTAGCTCTGTTGAGAGCTTTCCCTGTCACAGCTTTGAGGTACTCTGTCTTAATGATAGTGCGAGTGCCAACTACCCAACGTTCCTTGACGAGTGAAAAGTCGGCTTTGTGATAATCATCAATAATGTGCCTCGCGCATATATTGATGATATGCGGAAAGCAAGGAATTCTGCGCTCAATGGGATGAAAATTGATCCCACGTGAATCCAGTTTTTCTGAAAGCTCCCGCATGGCAGTCTGATTGTTTGAAGCATTATCCAAGGTAAAATGGCCAGTCTAAACAAAGTCAGAGCGTGTTAAATGGTACACTGAAACACTGACCTTTTCGGTCACACCGGCACGATCAAGGAGATGTAAGATTACCGATGCTAGCAATTCACCTGTGTGACTTCCTGTAACATGGTGGAAGCCTATCAGTGCCGCCTTCAAGACAAGTGCTGAATTATGGTCTGCTTTAGCGATCCAGTGAGCAGTAAGAGCCATGAATGGGCGAAGATTGGAATCAGACCAAAGGTCGGATGTAAATAAGACCTTTCCTTGAGCAGCCTGAAGATATGAGATATTTTGTGGGGCTCTTGACAATGGTAGACCTACCGCAAGGTCCCTCTTCAAAGCATTAAAGTACTCGTGGAAAGCGTCGATGATTAATTCATGAGCCTTGGTGCGATGGAATATATCGGTATCATCTAGCGATGGTCGCAGAAGACGGATTAGGCGTTGAAATTCTGGGCATTCAATAATACTGATTGCCTGAAAACGATTATTAACCATAGTGTAGAAAGCGCACATTGACTCACCTGGTCATCACCAATGATGAATTTCACAATTTGTTTGTGCATCTCATCCAGAGTAAATGCAGGCAATGCATCATCTGGAGCCGACAGGCTGGTTCCAGGAAGTAAATCAGGACTAGGTGGAGTACTGAGTGAGTCTAAGGTGCAATCTGGATCCCTCAGCCTTTGACGCATGGTCGCAATTGTCCAGCCCTCATCCAAAAAAGTCTTCAGTCATGACGATTTATGGAGGACATGCCAGCGCTGGCGCTCTGCCTCCTCCAAGTAAATGTCAGTATGTTCAGTGAAGGCATGAGTGCGATGAGTCGAAGTGCTTGTATTGTGAACGTATGACACAACATGGTAAGTATCATCTAGGTCGTGGATTTTTCTGGTAAAGAATGTCAGAAAGGACCATAGATTACAGACGCAATACTCACTCGCAGGCCTTGCAAATATTAGAATGAGTGGTAGGGTCCTGTCTGAAGAAGAAATGAACATCGGCAGAGGATTTAGGTGGTTTTGCTCGGCTACCAGTAGCCAGTGGATCAGTTATAGTGGTACTCATTGCTGTCTGAAATGGGCTATGGCCTGCAGCAGGCCTAACTTTGGGTGCAGGTGAGACCACATCACCTTCCTCATCCTCAGAGACATTCTCAAGGTCAAAGTATTTGCCTTCATCGCCATCATCTTGTCGGAACCTGATAGGAAGCTGACGATCCCTGCGAGGATTTCGAAGGATATTTGCGTTCACTGCAGCAGCAGTGGGAGCAGCAGCGGTGAGAGCAGCAACAGGAGCGGGGACAACAGGAGTGTGGACAACAGGAGCATGGACAACAGGAATGGGTACAACAGGAGTACCAGTAGCGGTGGTTTTGGAAGCAAGCTGGGAAGTTTTCTTTTTTCGAGGAGGCATGTGGTGGTGGTAACGGTGGTGTTAGTGGTGAAGATAGTTCAGTAACAGAACTGTATGTCTGTTTATATACATCTTCATCTGGGGAAACCCCAGAACATGCTGAGGAGCAGCAATACTGAGTCCCTGATGTAAAGTCCCAAGGGCTGTGCAGTAATACTGAGTCCCTGATGGAAAAGTCCAAAGGGCGATTGTCATTAATCAAGATTCAAGACGCAAGCAAGTTGAGTCTCATTTGGCACAGACTCACCGGGTAACTGATCAATCAAATGCACCTGCACTCGATCTTGGACGATGGTGAAGCCAATGGAGGTAGTCTCCATCAATAAGAAGTTGTTGAATTGTTATATTGTATTGCAGGAAGTTGCGATGATTCACTTGAGGCAGACAGCATGTTGATTGTGTTAGCGTGAGAAAAGAGGAATTCTCGATCATTACATAATGGCAAGTTGGCAACAGGCAGGCAGCTGTGCAGATACAATGTTTTTACAAATAATAGGTAATACTGTACGAGTCTGTACAGGTATTCAACATTCAATAGCTTCAATATAGTAACCAGGAGTCCTTGTACTCATGTAAAGTCAGATCTAGGCGACCCTAGTCTTTTTCCGGCGCGGAGTAGAAGTAGCTGCATGCAGGGGGGGCCATTATGTGGGCGCAAACTTGCAATCACATTAGTTCAAAAGTAGGAACATTGTGAGTGGACTACTCACATCCGAGTCGATCTGCGAAGTGGCGGACATGGAGGCACTGCCTCAATTAACCAGGGAGAATGTGAGAATGGAGGGGAATGTGTGATAGGTGCATCAGGCTGGTTGAAATCCAGCAAGCACGCAGCTGGTGCAGATGATGAACGAAGTACGTGAAGCAATGAACGAAGATGGTTATAATCGGGATCCTCTGAGAATGCAAGAGAGCGTGTGTAAATGAGAATCATTGCGAACTCGACAGGAATTCCCTGACATAGATCTTCAATGGTAGTGTTGACTTTACGTTCGAGTATTGAAGAGCTGCAAAGTTTGTCTTTGTCACTGGTTAACCACGGAAGGGAACCCTGCAAGAAGTATATTAACATGTATGTAAGTGACTCGAGGTCGTCACGACGACCCAGTTCAACTCCCAAGTGATTGTTGACTGAAGCAAATGCAGGAGTGCCAGCGAGACGTTGACCTTGGTGAAATGGAATGTGGACATTGTTTGACGTGTTCCAGAACTCCTTTGCGATCCCAAAATCAATAAGAAAGATGGTGTCACTCAAATCACCAAGCCCCACAACGACATTCTGCGGTTTTATATCACCATGAACATAACGATGCGAGTGAATATATTCGAGGCGTGAAAGCTGGGAAACAGAGTTAGTGATCTGCACATGCAACAACCTGTTACGACTGGGATGAGTCGAGCTATCTATGTCTGAATAGACAATCGGCGTAATGCCAGATAGACGGGAGTCTGCTCTCGATTGAGAGATCAAGGGTTCTGGCTAAGGCGAGTGTCGATGACTCCCTTAGAATAATGGTTCTTAGACAGTAAGGTTGGAGACCTTACTGAAGGACAATGTTCCAGGTAAAACCCAGTAGATTAAAGTAAAGAATACAATCGTATGTAGCTTGGTTTATATACAAGTGTTCAAGCGGAGCTTGTAAATGTGTTATCAAGATAGAAGCAAGACAAGAGATAAGGCGGACAGCCCGCTTGTTGAAGATAAGAGATAAGCATGGTACGGACGGCCCGTTTGTAAGCGAGATAAGAAGAAATGAATATAGGGGCTAAATGTTACTGTAACATTACCCCTCTGTTATGGTTGAAGTCTCCGACTTCAATATTCCTCAGTGTTGACATACTCGTCCATGTAGTCGTAGTAAACTAGATCTGCGTCAGCGTTGCAGAACTCCGGTTCGTTATACTTGGTGGTGTATTCCCGATTCGCCCGGTCTATCTCATCCTGGAGTTCTTCATCTTTCCTGGCCTCCCATGCCGACAGCGCTTCATAGAAGCCTTCATCGGTGTAAACCAATGGGAACAGTTCTTTCTTGGCGGCGTAAGGGCAATAAATAGAGAGGTGGCCAGGTTTCTGGCTCTGGCATACTCGGCAGTGATATTCAGGGCAGTTCTTGTGACGATGCCCGAGTTTCTTGCAGACGCGACAGACAAAATTGTCTGCGGAGAGCTGGGGCTGCTTTACTGTGATGACATCGGGGGTTTCGGTGAGGTCAATGACTTCACGCTTCTTTCCCTTAGAAGCTCTAGTCTTCGACACTCCGTGCACGATGGCTCCTCTGCGGGTCTTTCGTTTAAAGACGACGGTGGGTTCGGGGATAGGTAATGGTTCTTCAGCTTGTGCTGGTTGAGCAGCAGGCTGAGTTTCTTCTCTAGGCGTATCTGCAGCAGGTACGCTGCTGGGGGAAGTGATAGGAGTAGGGCTTGGCGGGCGACCGACTTCGGTCTTGTTTTGTTCTGCAACAGCCCGTATAACTGACTTGCAGACAGTGCTAAAAGCAGAAGGAAGCAGCTGAATCTCAAGGCTGCGAATCTGTCTCTGAAGGTGTTGGCAGGCGAGTCTGAGGGCATCGTCCTCGATTTCCTTGAATCTGAGTTCAAGGGCGGCGGTGGCACGTATAACGTGGATTTGGGATAAAATGGGGGCGGCAACGAATGCGGGTTCTTTGGCGAGCTGATTCTCTAGTTCAACTGCGTGAGGGAGGGATAACAGGGTTGTTTCTACGATGGCGTCGTCGTCTAGATCAATGATGTTTTTCTTATAAGTGGAGTTTTCGAGGGAGTACGCGGATGAGGTCGATCCAGTGGGAGAAGGTGTCAATGGGGGAGTCATGTTACTTGGGATGGTTTGTTCGAGGGAATGGTTCGTTCAGGTCAACCTGTGTCTCTCTTTATACCTTGTTAGAAGCTCCTTCGAACTCCGCAAGTTTTCCTCGGGTATCCACTCGTTACTTCCGGAAGAATAGCCTATCCATGATACGAGATAGCGTCTTCGTTTACCCATTCCCTTGTGGCTAAGAATAGCTTCCACTTCGTATTCTTCTTCGCCATTGATAACGTCAGGTGGAGGTTCGGTGTAGTTCGGTCCGTGTATCTCTGTCTCACGATAGGAGGATAGTTCAGAAGCGTGGAACGTGGGATGAACTTTCCACTGATTCGGAAGTTTCAGCGTGAACGTGATGGGAGATAAGACTGCGGTGATAGCGAATGGTCCGTATCTTTTGGGCGCAAGTTTCCTGGATGGTAAAGATGTTAGGAGATTGGTGGCCGTAAGCCATACCTTATCTCCTATCTTCCATGGTTGATATTTCCCATGGCGAGATCTTTCTGCCATTCGTTGCATAGCAATGTTGTGACAGGCGAGTGCTTCTTCACGTATCTTCTGGAGGTTCCTGAGTCTTTCTTCTGCTGCCGGCGTGTCGGATATAGGTAGGATATGGGGAATTCCCCGCGGCTCATAGCCCATCATGAGGAAGAACGGAGATGTGTTTCTGGTGTCGTGTTTTCGATGATTGTGGATGAATTCGGCGATAGGAAGATGGTTGGCCCATTCTAATGGGTTACTTCTGCAGTAGATTCGAAGGTAGGTTTCGAGTTCTTGGTTGAGACGTTCTGTCTGCCCATCTGTCTGGGGGTGGTAGGCAGTTGATGCAGCGATCTGATATCCTAGGAGTCGGGCGAGTTCTCTAGAGAATTTCGAAATGAACTGTGGTCCTCTATCAGAGATTACTTTCTCATGGAGGCCGAATCTCTTGAATACGTTTTTGAGGAATAATTTGGCCACTCCCTCTGAGGTGATGTTTTTGTTACACGGTGAGATAATTACCCCCTTCATAAGCCCATGATCTACCACGATCATAATAGAGTCAAAGCCGCCCGATATCGGTAGATCGGTAATGAGGTCGACGGAAACTTGGGAGAAGGGGCGAGTGGCAGTGGAGGGAATCGGACGCAGGGGCGGGGTAGTAGGATGAGTATCGGCCTTCATCTGCTGACACAAAGCGCATCCGTCGACATATTTGCGAATATAAGTTCCCATGGCGGGCCACCAAAAATCTCGCTTTACTAGTTCTTCAGTTTTGAACCGGCCAGGGTGTCCAGCGGTGGGGTGGTCATGATGTTTAAACAGTATGTCATGCCGTTGAGCCACCGGTACATAGGCCCTGCACTTGTAAAAGAGGACGCCATTTGTACACGTCCAATCGGAGAGGGCGGAGTTCATCGGGGGGAGGCATACCCCGTCTAAAGCTTGTAGGGCTTTCTGATATATGGGATCCTTGGCAGAATTGCGTGTGATGCTTTCTGACAGGTTGTTGTCGATCAGTCGTACGAACATGGTATCTGGGAGGAGGATGCGATTCTCGTTATCGTCTTTTCCGAGTGAATGGTCAGGGCGTCGTGAAAGTGCATCAGGAGCAGCCAACTTGGTCCCTGCGACGTGGTGTAATTCCAGCTGAAAGTTGGACAGGATAAGCTGCCAACGTGCTTGTCTCCTTGTTAACTTCTGAGCGGAGCGGAAGTAGAGGAGATTCATGTGATCTGTGAATACTATCACAGTATGGGGGCTTCCTTCAAGGTAATGGCGCCATTCGGAGAGTGCTCTGATAACTGCCAATAATTCTCTATCGAAGATTTCGTAGTTCCGTTCTGCGGGGTTGAATGATTGGGATAGGTAACCGCACGGGTGGTACATCCCATTTTCATCAGTCTGCAATAGTACTGCTCCAGTTGCCGCAAGCGATGCGTCGGTGGCAATTGCAAATTGTCGAGTTGGGTCAGGGTTTCTTAGCACCGGCTGCGATAAAAAGGCGTTTTTGAGGTGGTCGAAGGTGTTCTGGCAGTCCGTTGTCCATAGGAAGGGGTGATCTTTCTTTGTAAGGTCAATAAGAGGTCGAGCGATATCCGAATAATGAGCGATGAACGCGCGGTAGAAGTTGCAGAACCCTAGGAACGATCGTGTGTCCTTTAAGTTTTCTGGGGTGGGCCAATGTTTAATTCCATCTACTTTGGCGGGTTCCATGCCTACTTCCCCAGGTCGGATTATCATCCCAAGATATTCTACTTCTTGGGCGTCGAAAGTGCACTTTTCCGGTTTGACAAACAGCTTTTCTCTCCGAAGTATGTTGAGGATCTCTATTGTCCGTGCTCGATGTTGTTGAAGATCTTTTGAGAAGATTAAAAGATCGTCCATGTAGATGACCAACCATCCTTCGTTTATCTGTTGCTGACAGAGATTCGCCATGAACGCTTGGAACATTGCAGGGGAGTTTGTCAGTCCAAAGAACATGACCGTTGGTTCGAAAAGTCCTTCTTGCGTAGTGAACACCGCTTTCCAGCGATCTTCCGGATGAATTCTGACGTTATTGTATCCCGACCTAATATCGATCTTGGTAAAGTACTTGGCGTCATAGAGTCGTTTGATGAGGGACTTTGGCAAGGGGAGGGGGTATTGGTTTCGCACAGTCCAGTCATTAAGATATCGATAATCTTGACAGGGACGTAATTCTCCGCTTTTCTTTCCTACGAAAAAGAATCCGCTGGCTTGAGGGGATTTAGATGGGACAATGAAACCTTTTCTGGTGTTTTCTTCAATGAAGGTTTTGACGGCTTCTCGTTCTTTTCCGGATAGCGGATAAACCTTTGATGTCTTGGGTATAAACCCTGGTTTGAGATCAATACGGTGATCCACCCCAGGTCTTTCAGGCGGGAGTTTGTTAAGGCCGTCTTTGGCGAAAACATCCTGGTACTGGTGTAAAAAGGGGGGAACGAGCTCTTCAAAGGTTTTCTTTTGCTTTTCTATTTCTCCTGCGACTGCGAATTCTTGGGCTTTATTACTTGTTTTTCCGAAATTTTGTTTCATTTTCGATGTTCCGTCCCGGACGAGCGGGGTATCGAAGGATCTGTCTTCGATGATGCGTACAGTTGATCCATCAGTGGCATATTCAACGAGTACTTCGTCATTGGCTAGCTGGTAGGCTAGTGGGTCAAGGACTGGGGGTCTAAAATTTTCTGACCAGACATCATCTTTAGTGTCGTAGTTTGGGATTTCTTCATCAATTACTTCTTCTACAGAAGTGGTATAGGGGGAGGTGGTTTCATTAGTTGCCACCTTCACCTGTACTGGCTTCCGTAGTTTAGAGTTTACCCAGGCTCGGGAAGTTTCCTTTTCGATGACCTTCTCTTTCTTGAAGAGTGGTGGAAGGGCCTTTCTTCGTCGTTTTCTATCGATGTCCCTTTCTATAGCTAATGATCTTCTTGTTGACGGGAGTGACACTGTTTTGGCTTCCCAATCGATTTGGGGCTTCAGCGCCGAGAGCCAGGGGAATCCTAGGAGGATTTTGTCTTGTTTGGCTAGTTTTGCTACATTAAATTTTCCGATCATGGTTTGTTGGTCAATTTTGACCGTGAGTACGCAATAGCGAGAGATGAGTCCTCCTTGAGCGTCTGATCCGTCTGCAGTGATGACGGGGAAAGGGCGAGAAAGTTTGTGGGTTTTAATTTTATGCCTTTTGCAAAAGGCGTCGCTTATGAAAGTTCCGGATGCTCCGGAGTCAATGATCATGGATGTTTCGACGGTTTGTACGTGTTTATCGGAAAAAATGGATGCGGGAATCCTCAATTCATTTCTGGTTCCAATAGAACGTATTAGTCGTACAGGGGTAGGGTTTACTGACGTCGAGGCAGTTTCCCTTTCTAAAAATCCATCTCCATGAAGCGACGTTCCACTTCGGTAAAGTCGCTGTCTTCTTCTTCTTCAACTTCTTTCTCTTTCATGGTTTTCCTTCGAATTGGTGCTCTCCTCTTTGGGGTGTCTTCTTCGTTCTTTTCCTTCTTCCTTCTGATAGGAGTTCTGGAGGAGGAAGCGCGACTTTCAACTTCGTCGTCACTGCTTTCTTCTTCTTTCTTTCTCCGGATCTGGTCCCTTTCTCTAGGGTGGAAGGAGGTATCGTTGGCACGATGTCCTACTTGGTGACATTTGAAGCACCTTCCTTCCTTGAGATGTTTCTTTAGTTCTGCGTCCGATAGGCGGCTAATGCGATCGACCTCCATGTCGTCGCTTCTTTTGGGAACGTAGTGCCTGTTCCCGAAGTTCTTCTTCTTCTGCTGGTAGGGTCTTTCCTTCTTCTTGATGGCTTTTAACCTCTGGAAGGCGTTATCGAGGTTGATACAAGTGTTCACCACGGTATCGAAGTTGTCAAGGCTCTCTCCGGTATGGTGGAGGCTGTCTTGAAGCCCGTAATCCAAGCCTTGCCTGAAGAACTCGATAAGGGGGGCTTGTTCTGTCATTCCTGCCCTGTGCTCAAGGAGTTTATAATTGGAGATGTAGGTATGGAGATCTCCTTTCATTTCTAATCCTCGGATTTTCATCATGGCGGTTCCGGCAGGATCCATAGGTTTAAAGGCTTCGTCGAAGTCCTTTTTGAACGTGGCCCAGCTTCTGTAACCGATCATGGTGCCAGAGGTATCTTTTCTTTTGGGGTCTAGGGCTGCTTCCATGAAGTCTTCTGCCCATATCGCCGCATTCCCCTTTGTCATATAAGACAATACTAGGATGATCTTCTTCTTGTCTTCGTTGTATACCTGATCATTGATATCGAGGTACGCATGACATTTCATCATGAATCTCTTGGATTCTTCTCGATCTCCATCGAATTCGGGGGGGAACCGATCTTAAGTTCTATATCTTTGGCTTTGGTCGTCATGGTGTTCAAAGGAGGAATATTTGGTAGAGCTCCTAAGTTCAATGCCCCGATCAAGGGGGTTAACGAAGTCGTGATGTCGGTTTCGTTGCAGATGGCAACGGTTCAGGTGATAAGACTTTAATCTTTTGTTACGACTGGGATGAGTCGAGCTATCTATGTCTGAATAGACAATCGGCATAATGCCAGATAGACGGGAGTCTGCTCTCGATTGAGAGATCAAGGGTTCTGGCTAAGGCGAGTGTCGATGACTCCCTTAGAATAATGGTTCTTAGACAGTAAGGTTGGAGACCTTACTGAAGGACAATGTTCCAGGTAAAACCCAGTAGATTAAAGTAAAGAATACAATCGTATGTAGCTTGGTTTATATACAAGTGTTCAAGCGGAGCTTGTAAATGTATTATCAAGATAGAAGCAAGACAAGAGATAAGGCGGACAGCCCGCTTGTTGAAGATAAGAGATAAGCATGGTACGGACGGCCCGTTTGTAAGCGAGATAAGAAGAAATGAATATAGGGGCTAAATGTTACTGTAACACAGCCCACACATCAACTGACCAGCTGGTCTCCCAGATTCACAACAGTTTCAAGGCTGAATTTGTTGTTGTGGGTAAGGAATAGGTCATGTAGTGATGGCCCAAGGAGGTTGAGAACCAGAGCGTGATATGTCGACTCCCTACCAAACCAATGGACGCGGGGAATACCAACACCACCTTCAAGGTGTTTCAAAACTTTGTATTCGCGTTGCACGGAAGATGAGTGGCTGATGGGTTCAAGCTTGATGGCAACTGCATCCTCCTTGATGATGTTCCGTGCACGATACACAACAGCTAATTAGTGGGGTCAATTTGTTGAATCATTGTGTAGTCAGTAATATATGAATGACATACCATATGAACCAGATCCCAAAATGTCTCCCAACCTAAATCTTCCATCAACTCGAACAGGGACCTTAGTATGCATCGCGTATTATACAAAGCAACAATTTGCCTTCCACACGCCGCATGGGTATTTCAGCTTGAACTGGCTTAAGCCGGCTTTAAGCGGTTCAAACCACGGTTCAAATATTTTTGGCTTGTGATTGCTGTAACTGGTTCACATGGCTTACAAGTCAAACTGAGTTCGTACTCAGTGGCTTGGCTCACGTGGATCGCCAAACCTCTGGCTTATCGGTAAATACCGAACCGGAGCGGACCGTAGCCGAGCTGTGGCACTACTAGTCAGGAGGGCAATTGAAAGTGGGCAGACTGTCAAATTCTCATTGTCATTCAAAGAGTTACTGTGATGGCAATGTATTCTGCCTCTGGTATGTGTTGTTTGAATATTTCAAGTTTGGTGGCGGATAGTCTGATTGCTCTTTCATCAGCTCAGGGGTCTCCATAAGTATGTGCACTGGTTTTGCATCTTCTAGGCAGAATCATTTGACAATTATATTGATATATGCTTCTTGCATGTGTGTGATTGCACTGCATTATTGGTTTATTGAAGTGCAACTCCTCAATACATTTGATATCTATGTAGTGGTTACGAGTGAATGTCCAATAAGCAGGACCATGAAGGAGAGACAACACAGTTTATCTCCTGGATCAGAACGACCCTCATGATATTGACACAGAGGTGCAGTGTTTCATAAGTGCACCTATGCAGAGGCTCACATTATCTAGCTGAGCATCCTCAAAGCCTCAACATCTTCAATTAGGTTTCTGTTAGTAGTGTATCTTACCAGACCATAATCAATCATTGAATCAATTCAGTACGATACACACAACATATATCTAAATTTCTAACATATCGAAAATTCAACAGGTGAGCAATGAGAGAAGACAGATCGCACTATTACACAACTCTGCTGCTACTCATCTCAGCACACCTTGACTTACCTTGGATGCAAGAAGTTCATCCACCTCTGCCTCATCTTTCCCATTGACAGTCCCATCAGACAATTGTGAATTTGGTCTAATGTAAGATATCTGTAGGATGAGTTTATTAACATTAGGTCTATCTACTAATCACAGTTTTTGTTCTCAGTTGGAATGCAACCTCCAGGAGGGTGGGGGCAGTGGCAGCTCAATGGACACCTTGAGTCGATGTCGATAACATATTGGATGAGTCACTACAGAAGCTCACACATTAGACATTGAGCCAGGAGCAGGATACCTTGCAGGAGATGACACAGGATCTCGGATATAAGACAGTGGTCCAGGAGCAGGACATTATATAGGAGAGGACACAGAAGAGGGTACAGGAGATGATGCAGGAGAGCTGTGGTTGTATTCGAGGTAATGGAGAGAGACCACATTGATCGGATCGATCATTAGCATACCAGTGTTGCCCATGTTTGTACTTAGAATAAGATGCAGGCACTTCCTCTGTGATTATAGGGCTTCAAGAGGCCTTGAGGTTTGCAAGTGTACCTTGTTTGGTGGTGATTCTGACAGTAAGTAGATTGTTCTTGAGAGCATCTATAAGGACTTGGTGCTCACGAAGCAAGAGATCATGTATCCCCTTGCTCTTCACAAGAGTGGCACATTTCTTACCAGGCATCAGGACATTTTCAGGATAGTACTGAAGGACATAGTCACAACAAGCTAGTTCTCTATGCAGCAACTTCCAAGAAAATGTTCCTCCTGATCCTTTGAGCTTCTCTGCACCATTCTCAGTAAATGTTTAAGAGATTCCAATAATAAACTCACTAAGCAAAGCTGATAGACCACTCATAATACATGGTATGTCCTCAAGGCTTCTTCATTCATCAGGGTCATTTACTTGCTGCCTCTCCAACCACCTCTCCAATACTGTCTCCACTAGTGAGCCGTATTATGATGTGATGCATTCAAGATAATAGTCTAGTTTACTAAAGTTCATAATTGTGAAGTATAGAGGTGAGGGTAAAGGAGGGTCGCAACCATCACAGATAATCATGTGTGGCCTTCAACAGAAGCTTACCTAGTTAGTCATCGATAAAGATCATCAAGCTAATGTCATTTGTCAGGCCTGAAAAAGAAATATCATTGTATCACTTGAAACTGCAAACATGACATGTGATGACTCAGTTACAACACTGCCTTCCTTGGGAATTGCCAATTGCACTCCACCTGGACCTCAATTATTATTAGCACCATCAGCATCCGAGATTCACTTGCTGGACAAAAATCAGGCAGCGCTGGCCAGGACGAGTTATGTATCTCGCTGGTTGTGTAGACACAGTGCACATAAGTCACAAGGACAGACACTTGAGAAAATAATGATTGATCTTGGCTTCAAATGGTGTCCTGTAATCTATACAATACTTGTGTCTATAACACTAATTGATTCACATTATGACTTAACAAAGTCACTGTAGCAGGCTCTGCCATGAGTGGCCTTTCGTGTTATAGTTCTTAATGACAGCTTGACAGGTGTAGCTATTTTGATATGATCTGCTGGTTTCCATATATGTACATGTCTATGTAGTGTGAATGGCACTGGTACATTCTATTGGTCTTATTATTGGCGATGAAGGCAAATCTGCGGATGCCCTTCATCTCTTTGCTAATGATGTAATATTGATGTAATGTGACTTCTTTCATTTTTGTTTTTTTTTATCTATCTAAATAGAACTGACAACTTCTTTATAATGGTGCTTGCACTTTTCTGATGATCGCCATAGCAGGTAAAGTTTCATGCAGCACCTTTTCACTTAAGCAGATTGTGGACAATAAATTGTCTATGCTTCTGCTCTGTTGCACAGACCTTGATTAATATGAATTATTTGAAAGTCTGTTAATGAAACTTTTCGCCATGGTTGCATGCTGATGGGCCAAAAGGGATCTTCATTGCATGGACTCAACTCATAGGGTGATTGAAGTCAGGAGGAGAAGAGATGAGACATGTTGTGTGGGATGGGATGCACCCCTCAAATATGTTGAATTCTAGGCCCGCAGTGGGGGCCGAGGTACGAGGCCTCCGCGAGGTAGCGTAGAATATGGTCTACGTCTAGGTGCCCAGGCTGTCCGCCCCTATGCACCAACCCTGCTGACCACCGTCTCCTAAGATAGGGTGCAGTTAGGAGATGGGAGGGAAGGGTAAGTAAGACGGTTATGGGTCAGTAGCAGTTTCGACCTTACGAAGGGTCTCATCAGGGGGCTTACCGCTGCCCCAACCGCCTTACCTCTGTTTCTGTTTAGCAATGCTACCTCTAAGCCTTATATGTAGAAAGGGAGTTGGCGAACAGACCCCAGTGATTAGGGCAGGTGGGAGCGATGTCCGTCTGTGGCACGACCCAATCTAGGGAGGTGATATGGATTGGGTTAGTGGATACTTGATGAGGATGCCTCTCATCAGGCGCTATGCCCTGGTAAGAGTATCCTGCTATGGCCAGACGAAAGTGGTTTCCCACGCGACTTCGGGACTTGTATTGCGCGCATGCATATGACACCGTTTGACATAGATATGTATATAGGAGAATACATTGTTTGAGAATAAAAAATCACTTCACATGAACCATAGAATCCTACCAAATTGTGTCAGTGAATCTGGATCCCTGCAGCCATGTTCGCATCTGTTCAATGGTCTGGATGGGCCCAATACAACATAAATACCTGAGACCAAGTTTTTTCTCTTTACTTTCCTCCCATTTACTTCCACTCAGTATATCATGATTTGTCGCAGTCCAAAGTTGTGGATGACTGTGGAAGAAGATGCGTTCCTCAGAGCTCTACTCCCTGAGTATATGAAATGTTAGCATCAGAAAGTGTATGGCAATTTTTGGATTGATACCTTGTATGCATTTTTTAGCCAGTGGCCAAAGCACATGTGTCTACACCACAACACTAACTTAAGTATCCCTGCAGAAGGACATTGTTGGTTAGGCTATCATAAAGCATAAGGAGGTGAGTCAAATTAGCACTTGGGTAAATGAGCACTTCATGAAAAAATTACTGTAGGCTGTCAAGCATTGGTTTAGATGGCAGACAAATTCTGCACATCTTGCACATTCAGGTAACTCCTGTGGTGTACTCAACCTCAATGACACACTCAGAGGGGGGGTGGGTTCAGAGGGTCTCGGGCCCCACAAGAAGTTGAAGTTTACTTACAATATCACTTCAATGCATGCATGAAGGCCACTGCTGATGCCACAATAGGGGATTTCTTCACGTAGAGTGAAGCTGTCTAAACAGAAGGAGGTCACTCACATTATATATGCAATGGAGGATGATGTCATATGAACTGAAGTTAAGCAAAAGCACACAGAGGTGCTTGTAGAGTGGAAGCATGATCGTGAGCTGGCTAAAGTAGGGTTAGTTGAAGAACTCGATGATGATGCAAAAATACAGTATGTACTACTATCAGCTCATGATTATTTCATGTTCCAATAGAAGATACAGAGCTTTTAATAAACTGGGCTCACATCTGGATCAAAAATTTTGTCATCTATCCTACAAAACAGGGGGACTGAAATTTACCTGTATTGCTGGTGGGTGTAACCCTAGTACAGGAGAGGTTATGGCAGCCAAGTAAGTCTCACATTTCTCATGATCGTCATGTACTTGTCTTAATGTTAACTCACAGCTTTCACCTGGGAGAAACTGACACAGGTGCAGAATTCTCAGCCTGCTATCCTGGATTCTTGGACATTCAGATCACCTATGCAGATTTTGTAATGGAAGCTGTTGGTATGTATTTTCACAAGTCCTCACTGTTGGGTGGATTGCTCACCATATACTAGCTCATGATGAAAAGATGTAGTCACTTGTGAATCAAGAAGCATTAGTGCAGGCCCTAGCTGCCAGCAAGGATGTGGATGTAGACGACTCAAGCTCAGAGCAAACCTATGAAGATGAAAGTGGGAATATTCATGACAATGAAGAAATGCCAGGACACACAGATGCTACAACTGACCTTGATCATATACTCCAGGAGTACATATATCATGACTAGCTTGCTTATTTGTTTCAGGACTTAGACTTCTCATGTGGCAACAACGGAGCACTCTCAGAGCCCACTGTTTCACCTCCCATCATGTCTCCAGCTGTAGCACACCACGATGAGCTACCTAGTCTACCAGCAGTTCCAGATATACAAGCAGCTATCCTCTGGCCACAACTAATGTCTCCTCAGATGCTATCACCATCACTTCTGAACAAGACAGCTGGTGGGGCTACCACTGGAACTGCAATTGGCACATCTGATCATCTCACTCCTTTGACTGCTGAGGGGCCAAAGGACCTCACTGTACAACATGCCAACATGTCCCATCGAAACATGGATAGGCACTCAACATCATTGGGTCATCGAATACACATATCTGTGCTATGGCAGGAGTTACAGAGAGTGAAGAAAATGATGAATCTAATTTCACATCTATGAAGTGCAAGGCCAGGCCACTAGTCAACAAACTAATAAGTAAGTTTTCTTCAAACTTCACCAGTTGTCAAGTAAAGGTTCATGGTTTATAGAAAACAGAAGTGTGGTTAGCACCAATTCTATTGTGTCTTTCATACAGTATCTGTACATATCTGAAGTTATGAAGTTTGATTTTCAGACAGCGGTCTAGATACCCTTTGATTTCACTTTGTATCTCATCCAATACTCACTTATCTATGAAGTTCAACCGCTGTGTCATTGTAGTAAGAGTGAAGCTTACCTTCATACTGATAGTAATGCTGTAGCACTCAGCCTCATGCTGAGCATGTATTCAGCTAATTCCCAATGCATGTAAAACACCCATTATATATGAATCACTTCCCAATGTTATCCAATACTTACCTGCTCAACCCGATGTTTATCCACTAAAACCGACACTAGTCCAATGTAACCCAACACTGGTCCGACGAACCCAATGTTTCAGCTGCATCGGACCTGATATTTTCCCATGCACTTGTCCTCCCTATGTCCTGTCCTATCATATCTATCCCCACTAGGTGCGCAGTTATCTGTTTTCACGTCACTAACACTGTAGACCGTGTTATTACATGTCCGCAGTACCACATGTCTTATTACATAGTCTATGCTTATTTCACAAGAAAGCAAGAGATGAATTAAACAGCAAGAACATGACTTTACTAAGTTTCGAACGACAAGCGGATACTAGCATTAGAGTCCAAGAACATAACTAACTAACTCGAATTAAACAGATGTTTGGGCAAAACCCGCCAGGGTTTTCGATCAAAACAAGATTCAACGCCTTTCAGAACCAGGCAGGAGCACGCTGAGATGGGTGGGTGGGCCAAGCAGCTCGAGAAAGACTGTCGATATCCTGCATCAGATCAGGAAAGTTACACAAGTAATATCATATTGTTACTTACACCACAGCCTGAAGTCAACATCTCCAGGTCTGTGAGGTCCAAATTGGTAGGTCGTCACTGTCCCGAGGCACGCGATCACCAATGACTTTTGCGCCCACTGACAATTGCCGTACTCTTATGCCCAGAGTACCAGGAGATGGTGCAGTGTAGGACCAAGGAAACGGCCATAGAATTTGTTGTAAACGTTGAACGATGGAAAGACGAACAATCGCAAGTGGCAATTTGATTGTGTTGGAATGATGTTCATCAGTGTTCAACAATGTGACATTGAATTCCACATGATCCGGTCCCCAGGCTGCAATGTTGGACAGTGATCCTGAGAAAATGGGAAGTGGTAAAGGGGATGCAAAAATGTTGAAGACGTGACAATGGACAACAATGAGATCCCCAGATCCCAGATATGTATGATGTCCTGGAGTGATAAATTTATCGAATGTCCAGACATCACATCCTGTGAAGGTAGGAGATGTGCCTATGACCATAGAGACAGCCAAGACGGTTGCTACTGGTCCTGCTGCTATGCTGGATGACACTGTAGCATTCTCTAGAGTAGCTCCTCCCGATGTAATGTCTAAATTAAAGAGAGACAAAGACATGCATAAAGTATGGGTGTTTCTTAACAACTGTGTTCAAAACTGTCTGTTATAACTCCCCAGCATGTAATTAGTCCAGAAGTAGTGTCCTGGAGCTAAGTCGCCTTAACTACAGCTCTAGAAGGTACAAACCACCTAGAGTGAATCCACATTAGCTCATCAATCAGACCCTTGCTGTCTATAATCCACTAACAAAGTCGGCTTTACACGAAACCAATATATGTGTGCCATGTCATTGGTAGGATGTCATTTATGTGACATATATGTAAATTGCCCGCTAGTGCCCAAGGTTGTGTCATGCGGTCCGAAGCCGTAACCATTGAGCTGCTTCTAGGGAGAGGAGGGTGGGTGTTTCAAAGAGGCAGATTCAATTGGAACGAAGCAGAGAATAGCAGATAGTAGCAATAGCTGTAGGTACTATCGTCGAAGAGGAGGAACAAGAAGGTGTGTGCTTTCTGTACTCAAAATGGCATAGACTTCGTTCTCAGCACGTGCTCGTTCCTCCCACTATTGAGAACACGAGACATTGAACCTGAAAATTACCGCTACTACTTTCACCTATAGCGCTCTGAAATTCTACATAGACACTATATATTTCGCATACCTCCTACTTACTTTATCTACCTTTCTACCTCCAAGTAGGAGGAGGTCATCTGATATTTGTAGTTCTTAACTGAATTCCGCAATATCATCCTTTCATTATCCGAAACACTCTGAAACATCTGACAGTATCTCAACATTCACTATCCCTGCCATTCACTAACTTTCTGATGCATTTCCAACACAATCTGATGTAACCCAATGAAACCCGCTGTAGCACTCAGGCTCACGCTGAGCATGTATTCAGCTAATTCCCAATGCATGTCAAACACTCAAATCACTTCCCAATGTTATCCGACACTTACCCGCTCAATCCGATGTTTATCCGCTAACTCAACGCTAATCCGATGGACCTGATGTTTCCCGCGCATCGGACCTGATATTTTCCCATGCACTTGTCCTCCCTATGTCCTGTCCTGTTGTATCTATCCTCACTAGGTGCGCAGTTATCTGTTTTCACATCGCTAACACTGTAGACCGTGTTATTACATGTCTGCAGTACCACATGTCTTATTACATAGGACATTGGACCCGAAAATTACAACTACTACTTTCGCCTATAGCACCCCAAAATTCTACATAGACACTATATATTTTGCATGCCTCCTACTTACTTATTTACCTTTCTACCTCTTAGTAGGAGGAGGTCATTAGATATTTGTAGTTCTTGGTTGAATTCCGCAAATATCATCCTTTCATTATATGAAACACTCCGAAAACACTGACAGTAACCCGCCATTCACTATCCCCGACATTCATTACATTCCCGACGCTAATCTGACATAACCCGACGAAACCCACTAACCTGAAACCCGAAAACATCGGACCCAACGTTTTTACCTTCGGACTTTGTTTCTCGTGCTTTGGACCATCTTCCTTTTAGTATAACTGATCATTCTAAATACCTTACAGCAAACCCCTCGGGTCAAACGCACTTGTCTTGCAAGTATAGCAGACTAGGCTGTGTTAGACTGCAACATTTGTATATTGCTAATTACTTACTTCGTGTAGTGTTCAGCAATTGTTGTCTCGTTACACCGCTAATCTGAAACCCCAAAAACATCAGACCTGACATTTTTGACATTGGACTCATAATTATACCTTCAGACTTTGTTTCCCATGCTCAGACTATCTTCCTTTTTGTATAACTAATTATTCTAATACCCTACAGTGAACCCCTCAGGTAGAACGCACTTGTCTTGCAAGTATAGCAGACTAGGCTGTGCTAGACCAAACATTTTATATTGCTGGTTACTTACTTTGTGTAGTGTCCAGCGATTGTTGTTTTATAACAATGCATCCTCATTGGCAGATTCAAAATGACAAATGAATTTGTCAGAACCTGTTGGGGCATGCCTCTGCCTCGAGTAGACATTTGTGCGTAAGTGAGATTGTGTAGGTGATGAAAAAGAATTCGATTGAATTGACTGGAAACTGAGCGCAGGAAAGGGATGTCATATCCCACCTCAGCCTGTCTTTACTACTGTCCTAACCATAACTTCGTTCCTTAGCAATAGCCCTTCATTCAACCACTTTCCTATATCTCCCAAAGACTCACTTGTTGAGTTGTGATTGTTTAGACTCAGTAAAAATATAGGTGACTGTCATACCTTCTTCAAACCTCACTATTGATAGTATTATGTGGGATACTGTGTCTATGGCAAGACTGACATGTCACATGGGGTAACAGATAAATTTGGTATAACGAGCAAACAGAGCCTCATCAAATACTGCACTCAACTCAGCACATAAACGAGAGAAGTGCAACAGAATGAATTTTATGGATTCAAGACATGTCCACTTCTTCAGGACAAAGGTCAAAGGAAGTTGGCCTCTACAATAAGGAACATGGGCAATTCAGAAAGGGATATTGAATCCTGGTCTTCAGGATAGAAAAACTACAGAGGATCGCTGCTGACCATAGTGGCATACAGTGCCTTAATATCAACCATCTGAAATGCTAAGCAACGACGCACACAGCACACCCAATAACTATGCACCTTATCAAAGAAGGGAGGGAAGAAAATGTAGGCAGAAAATTTTAGAACTGTTCATGAAGTATCAAATATCAAATAGACAGGGTGCCACCGGAGGCACAACAGGAGCCAACAGCACTGGCTAGTGTTACTTGGAGGGGGAAGTATGCATTTGACTGGTGTGAAGATCAACAAACAAGCAAGTATCAGTGCAGTGTATGCATGAAAGATAGTACAACAAAGGGAAACAGGAGAGAGCAATGATAAGGAATACAGCAAGGAAGTCTGAGAGAACAAGAGGGAGACATACAGGAAGTAGATGGAACAATCCATGGGTAGTGAGAGGCTGATTTTTGTGTTCGACTAAGCCCTCCTCTACTAATGTGGGAGTCAGGGATAGGTCTGGCTCTGACAGGCGTCCCTGCTGGTATTGTTCTGTGCAGAGAATGTAGATCAAACTGTCAAAGGATGGTGAGATGTGTACTGACACTACTGTACCACATGCAACTCTCATGGAAGAGTCAACTCCTAACAATAACACAACTAACATTGTCTCAGACAATATTGAGGTTTGAAGAAGTGCACACATGTGAGTCACATCCAAAATCATCCTTACACTTCCTGCCAATCATACAATATAACACCAGATCTAGATTATTTATCTGAGAAGACTGTGGTAAAAACATGACCAATCTTGACAGACCAACAAACCCACCAATGATAATAAGATTGAACAGGAAGATTGCAAACATTTCAGCAGCTGGACGGTCACACATTCATCATTCGTATCATTGGGGTGCATCTTGAATTTTTCCATTTAGTTTGACCTCAGACTCCATCCTAAATACCATCACTTACATGCAGTGTTAGACACAGGTTGTGTTGCTGATAGTTGAGGGGCCTGAAAGTAGTGATGGACAGGTCCGGTTTGGTCCGGTTCTCTAGGAAATTCAGAGAACCGTGGACCGGACCATCAGTTCGGTCCGATAATGGTCCGGTTCCGGTTCAGCAAGGGTTTGAACCGAGAACCGGACCCAAAAAATGTCAAACTTCATATACATATCTTAAGTACAAATGTTCCATCCCATAGTCTCATATGTAAGTTGATTTCTGTCTTGACTCGACACCAGAACGTGGCTGGGCTAACATTAACCCTGTCGCTTCGAGCACCAAAGGTCCTGGTGCCCGGCAAGACACCCTTGACGACTACTTCAGAGACTCAAACTGGAAAAAAGTAGTTGGACTTGGTGGGTCTATTTTTGTCAAAATAATACATTAATTTACATTTTATCAGGTAGTACTATGCTTCACAAGATGAAGGATGCGTTACTGGAGCGAGAGAACCATCATGAAGCATTCGAGGACCTTGATGATGGCTTGCGAGGCAAATACAGTGCCACCGTTGAACAGTGGAGAGAACAGGTGGAGGCTTGGGAGCGTGATGCCGCACAGCCCAATCCGTTCAAACAAAAGGCAGAAAGTAAGTACGAGATCGTGATGGTAATACTTATGTGCTCATCTTAATCCTCCATATATCACAGGTATCACTATGGCTTCTGTACGACTGGAGCTGACTAGGGAGGACCAGGTTGACCTTCAAACAGGGACTTTGTTAAGAATGTTGTGTTTAAGTAGCTAGAAATACGAATTTTGTGAAAGTGCCAACTTCTGTGGGGTGCTGATTGCAGTGGAAGGGATAGTAGCAAATTCTTTGCACACCCTCCCGTATCTACCCACCCGTTGTACATTGGGTACGGTCTCGAGTTTGGATTTGTTTGTATCCGAATTCATGGGGCTTGTTCTCATAACAGGGTCCTCATTTTGCTGGCTATGCATCAGTAAACCAGTGAGTTCTTGCTGGGGATTATGCTGATTATGGTGCTTTTACATAGTCATATATTGCTTTATATTCCAATGTGATGAAAACCTTTCCTATATATTACAATATATTACAATATATGACGATATCTTCTTCTCACAGGTTCTCTGATGTCATGTCCTCGTCGTCTGCGTCCCCACGAGATTTGAGCGAGGACAATTAGAAGTTGTGCAGTCATGGAATAAAGAAGGGTTGGACTGATATCTGACTTATCATGTGATCAAGTATTTTGTGAACAATGTGCCAGACCTGAATCCAAATGGTATGCACAGGTCCAAGAGCGGTATAAATTCTGATATGATTGCTCATTCATGAGCTGGATAAACAATCTCCTGGACATTGACTTGTTCTTTCTGCGCTGTTGGGAGTTTTCTTGTGTTTTCTTGATCGATTTTCGTAGTTTGCTATGTGGTGTAATTGATCCAGGAACTGAAAAACCGCCGAGTCAGATCGCTTGGGGCCATGGATGAATAACTGGATGCATTACCTTCTTATTTCATTATATTCACTAATGACGGGAGCGTTGATCTTCCCGGGGTGTTCCCATGATGGTTGTGCGGTAAGAGCTCGTGGCGTGGTCCAGTCTACTCGCGAGCCTAGGAAGAAACGAGTGGGTTCAACATTGGCTCAACCCACTGCACAAGGATTATTCAAAGACCATATGTAGTAAGCGTACGCTGTACTTTTCTTCGACTGATGGTGAATCTTTCTGTATTGGTATTCTCATTCTGAGAGGTGCTTACGCACACCGCCTCTTTGTCTCCACAGCTTCGACAAGTATTTTGCGATCTGGTTAATCGCGCATATCCTCATGTTCTGACGTCCATCTCCACAACGTTTACAGAACTCCTGTACTGGTACCCTTGTCGAAGAACACAGCACTTGACTCCGTCAAACGATATTGCAGCGCCGACGTACGAGATATGACATGTTCATTCGCATCTTTCGTGCTAGGCCCTAGGTGCACACATATCTTGATGGTTTTATGACTTCTGATGCATCCAAGAGCAACAGAACAGAACGTACCTCTCCGCTCACTGCACCGCTTCGCCCGCTAGCTAAAGGCCTGACCTCGATGTGATAGGTGCATAGTTGAAGCAAGTGCTGCAAGAGTGCATCTGGCTCTGGTGGAGTGACGATGTGGTGTCTGACGACTAACATTGCGTCCATCTGTATTTGGGTTTGTAAAAGCAGTAATGGCCCGAAGTTGATATTGTCTTACCTTGACACAGAGGGCTCTCAGAGCACGAGCAAACCGGGACAGGTCAAGCAGCGAAACCCCGAGCCATTCGAGCGATGTGATGTCATCCAGGATTACGAGTGGGATTTGGCCATGGGTTTGGGAGTCTGACAATTTGGCTGATAGTAGATCGTAGATGTACTTTAGAGAGATAACATTCAAAGGCTCCTCTCCACGATTTTGTGCTGGTAGGTGCTGGTCGAAGACATCTATGAATTGAAAGGATTCGCTGTGGGTCACATTGGCGTTCTGTGGGGAAGTCAGTTACTATTAGATCGACGAGATGCAGAGGACTGCACGTACAGCCTTTGAAGCTACTGATTTCCAGCGCTCGAGGCTTTCGGATACAGCGAGAACAAAACATTTCGCGGTTTTGCTTTGCCTCAGGTGCAAGTGAAGGAATCGATGCAGTAAAAAGTCGGCTGGAGCTGGAAGCTGGTCTGTTATTAGAAGCAGTCGATGAGAAGAAAACAGGTCGGGCGCAGGGAACTGCATGATCAAGAAAGCATTCGACTACCTGTCACATTACATTGTTACATGTGTGTTGCCCTGAATGATCGGTTATAATTACAGACACAAACAATTGAAACAAAGCTCTCGTCGTTTTCTAGTATTCCCTACTCATCACTCCGCCGGTTTTCATAAAGCATTTTAGTATGGTTTCATCTTTAATCTGACCCAAATATTGATGACTCATATTAGCAAAGGTCTACCTAGACCATTGGACGTGACCTTGTCATGTCTGTTCCCAGCTTCGAGGATCTCTTCGGGTCATGTACCCTGGAGGTGATAGCTCCAGACACCTCCATAAAGTTTCCCGAGCCAGGAGCTGCTGATCATTGGTTAGCCGCGCTTAAATCATCTGGTATTGAAAGAAGACAAGCGTTCTTCGGTAAGGTACAAGATTTCATTGAACATGCTAGTCTTGATGCTCATCAAATGGCTAATCAGATGAGCAACTACACCTTCTCTTGATTGCACAAATACCCTGTCCATCTGTGGACGTTGATCCCAAGTATCCACCTACATTCCTTCTCGATTTTCTTGCCCATGTGCAGGTTTCGCTTGAAGCCACTTATATCTCGCAAACACCTACAACTCTCCCTGAAACTCCCCAGACTGCCCGAGTCCTTGCTCCACCACGCACATCATCTGTGGCTAAGCCTCGGCCTACATCACTCCATCCTTCCTTATTTCCTCCCCATACACCAAATCCTACACCATCTTCTACGGAGAGGGATCGCAAGTACGCACAATCCGAAGGAACTCTTCTTCTTGCCAGTATATGGGGTCACAGGCCCGCGAGTTTATCTAAAGAGAAGTTTTCTCTCTTGTATTCAGAGGCAAAGAAGGCTTGGTTGGCTGTATACGAACTCTCCTTGACCGTGTGTGAGTGTGCGCAAGCAATACGTCTGCCACTTGTCCTAAACACTCTTCTAGCGTTTCTTCGCCTTTCGTTCTCAGATCCTCTTCTGTCCTTGACCGTGTCAACTACATTGCGAGAGAAGGCGGTTTCACTGTCACAAGCAAACCATCCATTTGTCATATTTCTGTCGGAAAGCGACATTCTTGCTGAGCTTTCTGCTTCTGGCATAAGTTCATTCTCGAAGCAGCAGAACCAGGACACAGATAATGTCGGGGAGGATGATCAGACCGGGCTTGAGGAAGTCAATTTACTAGAAGGTCTTTCGACTGGTAGTCTTTCATGCCATATCAATGTTACGGGTTCACTTACATGTTTTCTAGGATACAACGTTACTCCCGGCACGGAACCACTCTGGCTTCCATCCACTCGCTTGGGGAATGTCATGCGTCGAGAGCTATTCTCTCTCTTACCTGTGCAACCTTCATCTGCCCAACCACTTGCGTCAAGCCCTAAGCGTCCACCTAATGCCACTTTACGGAAATCATTTCGCAAAATTCTCCAGACAGTCTCTGGCTTCCGGGTGCGGATGCGAACCGTTTTTGTTCCCCACATCCTCTTTCCAGAAATGAATTCAAGGACGGGCTTCAATGACGATGATAGCGATGCGCAGGAACGAGAGGCAGGGAACAACGAACGTACTGTCGTTCTCTGTGTTGAAGTCGAGAATTCTGGAGAATCAGGCTTAGGTGTTGGTTTCTCAGTGGAAAAGGTGGATGTGAAAATCGGTGGCGAAGGTGCATCTGTCAAACTGATTGGTTGGGGAGAGGGTGCTTTTGAGGCTGAAGTGGAGGCGCACACCTTCCCACTTCTGATCGGATCTATGGAACAGTACAATTTGTTATACGCCGTTTCATTCCTCAAGCCTTTAGCAGACTCAGATCTCTCGCTGGTTGGTCGGCGGTCTGGTACTGTCTCTGCAAACTCAGATCTTCAGCGGGCGGTAGCAATCAATATTCATGGCAAACCTTACTTGTCGAAGGCAGATGGTGAACATGACTCTGAGGACGGTGATGGTCCTACCCTGACCTACCCAACACATACATTTTCCTCTCGGTGGAACTGTATCCTGGATCTTTCTTCGAAACCACCGGAAGAACCTCTGGACTTCTCAGACCCTTCTATTGGTGCTCGTAGTGTGTTACCAGAGCCTGCGTCTCCCTTCCCGGGGCAAGCCGCTTTGGCATCTGCGATGCCGAAAGCGCAATCTGTTACTGGGAACAAACGACATACCCTTCCCAACAATATCACAGCTATACGGGCGATTAACCCGAATGCTAACTTCCGCCCGATGCCATATCGCGACCAATCTTCCGCCTCGCCAACACCCTCCAACAAACAATACACTCCTCCCTCTGTCACTGTACAAAGTTTCTCAAAGTTTCCTTCCACTACATTCGGCATTCCACCTCCGACCATTCCCCTGTTAGGCGTTACTACACCCAATGGCGCCCCACATGGCCCATCAGAGTCTCAAACGTTCGTGACTCCGCCAACTCCTGCGTACCCTGCATTCCCTCCGGCTACTGCTCCAGCAACATCTCACTTCCAAACGCCACTGAGTAACCATCAAGGAGCCTCTGGACCGAGTATCGAAATCCGCAGGGAACGTGGTCTCGGAATGACGGCAGCCATACCACAAACTCCTGGACCAACCGTCGGCGGCGGCGCATTCGATCCCGCTCGAGATACCCCAGCAACTGGCGGAGAGCCCATCATCGTCTCCATTGGCTTGCTCCCACCACCTACAGGTTTCGCCGCGTCTATGAAATTATATCCCTGCGATCAGTTCACGCTTGACATCTTCGTGTTCAATCAGAGCTCATGGACCAGAAGGTTCGAAATCAGCTGTCCGGATCCAGACCGTAGACGTAGACGGAAGATCGAGCAGGAGAAAACTTCGCGGGGTGGCAAGACGACTATCAATGAGTTACAGAGTGTGATGACGCCTCCTGGGATACTCCCATTGCAAAACCGCGTGCGAATCGGGTATGTAGCATTTCGGGTGAATTGTCGTGCTGTTATTTAATGATGTTTCTCGAAATTGCAGGCCGCTGCGTCCATCTACCTGCCAGTCAGTCAGAATGGACTTCCTTGCAATGACTCCTGGTGTACATTCTCTTGAGATTCTTAGTCTCACGGATATTGAGACGGGTTTCTCTATGGATCTGAGGTGAGTTCACGTTAATTCGTCTTCTGAAGTTCTGCTTCGCGTGCTGAACAGTTACGGTAGATCTGTATTAGATGTTGTCGTTCACGAGCATCATCAGATGTAATCCTTCCATTCTACGCCGAGTGATCGGCAGATAAAAATCGAATCTGTAGCGAGACAGGGCATAAAACAAACAGCGTAAAATATACAAGAGAGTGTGGCAGAAGGGTAGAGAACATATATTAAGGTCGTCTTCCGAGGTAATCCGAGTCATCACAAGTATGACATAGGTGGGTTACACCCACTGAGACTTCTCCCAGGCCGGATCCTGCATAAATGCGCAGAGAACCTTACTACCGGTCTAAGAAGGCCGTCAGATTGTTTGTACGGTTCTTCTTATCTAGTCGCTTACCTGCAGGAGTGGGTGACCAGCAACGATGCTTAAGAATCGTTCCAGTCCCTCCCTTCGACTCTCAATGACTTCATCGGAAAATCTATTGGTGAAGACTTTGCCAGGGAGTGGAGGAATGTTGACACGAGTAGATTCGCGCTCCAGAATATCGCGGAACGCCTCGAAGTCGGAATAACGGCGCCGGACGAGAGAATGGCGCAGCTTAAATGCAGGAATGTTTGTCTACAGCACATAAGGATAAGCACTCGGGTGACTGGAACCGCGGTAGCAGTATGTTTCACCTTGCACACGATCTCGTAGTCGGTATACATCTTTCTGCCAAAACCTGTTATTCAATGGTAAGGAGGTAGAATCCCACAGAGCAAATTTTGTATTGCCCACCGTGTGTTTGAGGATTGCGAACTTCAATTTCTAAGAAGCTCTCAGGGACGCTGTACATTTCTTCAATCTGGGAAGCGCTTGCTTGTGTTTATGCAGCAGAAATGGGATGATAAAAGTGAGGTGGGCTTACGGTCTGCTCGCGCCCGCCGAGGCGGGGCTCGTCGAACGCGGTGCTGCGAGCAAATGGCGACACGCTAGTTGTCATGTCGTCGACGTTAACGTTGGTGCAGTCTCAGTGTGAACAGCACATCATCACCCACGCAGCTGTCACAATTGGTCACACCTGAGTCACACATCACTACTCTACTTTGTGTTAGTACCTTCTCAGATCTCCACCATCATCTCTATGGGAAGACAAAACTGCACTGTTCACCGTGGTCATAAAGTCCCATCGACGTAAATGATAGCATAATACAAGATATTTGTATACGACTGGACCGACTACAGCCATATTTTCCCATCATGACCCGATCTTTTCTCTCGGTAATTCAACTTCATTTTAGTATGCGCACTTCCGTGCTCTCTGCACGAGAAAGTATAAACATCTGAGGATAACCATATCATGAGATTATGCTCACTCTCTAATTCACCCAGGCACGAGCACTCTGGAAAAGCCTGAACCACGGACTCGAACCGTCCCACGAGTCCCCAAACGCGGGTGGATACCAACTGCAACTTTCCAGTGCTACGACACGTTCTGGATGGGGCATAAGACCCATTATTCTGCCGTCAATTGTCTGCACGCCAGTGATCCCATCGGGACTGCCATTCGGGTTCAATGGATAAACTTCTGTGGGTTCACCCGCAGAATCGACATATTGCAGTGCGACGAGGCCTGCTTTTTGCAGGGCTTCTCTGTGGGTATGGTCCGAAAATGACACTCTTCCCTCTCCATGAGCAACAGCAACAGGAAGCTTTGACCCAACCATATCTCGCAAGAAGACGGAGGCCTTCGTCACTTCATTAGAAGTGACTTCGACCATGGATACACGACCCTCGAAGCGTTCAGAGGCATTCTGCTTGAAGTCGGGCCAGTGGTCTGCGCCAGGAATGATCTCTCTCAAATGACTGAGCCATTGGCAACCATTGCAGACGCCGAGAGTGAACGTAGTTTTATCTGCGAAGAAGTGGGTAAACTCCTTCCTCGCTATGTCGTTCAAAAGTACTGAGTGAGCCCAGCCTTTCCCAGCACCAAGCACGTCTCCATAGGAAAATCCGCCGCAAGCTGCTAGACCGCGGAAGCGCGAAAGCGAGAGCGCTCCAGAGAGAATATCAGACATGTGAACATCCACGGCATCAAAACCTGCCGCCGTAAATGCCCAAGCCATTTCCACATGTCCGTTGACACCTTGCTCACGCAAGATGGCAACCTTTGGCCGCGATGAGAGACTTCGTGAGGGGGATGGCGTGTGCTCAAATGTGAGGTCATAAAATAAACCCTTGTGAGTGTGATCCTTGATGAGGTTGAATTCCTGCCGTGCTCCGATAGGGTTGTCGCGCAGAGATTGCATGCGGTACGAAGTGTCGGCCCAGGCTTGTTGAATCTCCTGACGTGTGCTCGAAAATAGCACCTTGGATTCGTGATTGATGGCGAAAAGTTGATCAGAAGGGTCGATGTTGACGCGCCCAATGACGTGGATGGATGTGGAAGGGAAGCCGACGTCGACAAACTCGCTCATGAGCTTACTCAGGTGGGACTCGCGCACTTGGACGACAGCTCCTAACTCCTCATTGAATAGGGTCGCCACAGGATCGGAAGCACTATGGAGAGTGTCAAGGGAGATTACAGCGCCTACTCGACCAGCGAAGCACATCTCCACCAAAGTTGTGAAGAGCCCTCCGTCGGAGCGATCGTGATATGCAAGGATCAAGTCAGGCTGATTCTTTTTGACCTTCTGGCACCCATCGAAGAACGTTTGAACTGTAAGAGAATTCTCGACGTCTGGCGCCTCTGAACCAATTTCCTTGAAAACCTGCGCAAGCGCCGATCCACCCATGCGCGTCTTGCCATGAGCAAGATCGAAGAAGACGAGCACAGTCGGTTCTTTCAGGTCTGTACGCAACTGAGGCGTCCATGTTCGTTCGACGTTGTTCACCGGCGCGAACGCCGTGACAATGAGAGACAATGGTGCACTAACTTCACGCTGCTCCTCTCCTTGCTTCCACTTCATCGACATTGACATTGAATCCTTGCCGACGGGGATGCCGACGCCCAGCGCAGGACAAAGTTCCATACCGACAGCGGCCACGGCGGCGTACAACCCTGCACCTTCGCCTTCCTTAGAAGCAGCGCACATCCAGTTTGCACTGAGCTTGACGCGAGAAAGGCTGGAGACGGAAGCTGCAGCCAGGTTGGTGAGCGCCTCAGCTATAGCCATTCGAGCGGACGCAGATGGATTTAGCAGAGCTACAGGTGTTCGTTCACCCATTGCCATGGCTTCACCACTCAGGACATCAAAGCCATATGATGATCGAGTGACCGCAACGTCAGCAACTGGGACCTGCCACGGTCCAACCATTTGGTCGCGAGTCACCAAGCCTGTGATGGTTCTATCTCCAATTGTGATAAGGAAAGATTTTGACCCTACTGATGGAAGACGAAGAACGCGGTCCACTGCAAGGGACAAGCGGTTGGACAAGGTGGAGGAGTTTGGAAGATATTTCGAAAGGGAAGTATCAAAATTCATAAAACCAATCTTTCGAGTGGTATCCTTGCGCGACATGCGAGGAGGCTTCCCGAAAAGTGTCGACATTTTGAGGTGAATAACATCTTGCGACAGGAGGCGGTCGGTGACGATGAGTTCTTCTTCCTCAGTCGCGACGCCGACGATGGAGAATGGACACCGTTCCCTTTGGGCTATTTTCTCGAACTCGCTGGCCTTTTCTGCCGACACAGCAAGGACATAGCGTTCCTGACTTTCGTTGCACCATATCTCCATGGGAGACATCGAGCTGTCCGCGACAAGTACGTCCCTGATCTCAAACTTCGCGCCAAGTCCTGAGTCGTGAACTAGCTCTGGAAGTGCATTGGATAGTCCACCGGCGCCCACATCATGGATACTCTGGATAGGAGTACCCTCCCCCAAGCTAACGCAAGCGTCGATAACTTGCTGGCATCTCCTCTGCATCTCTGCATTCTCTCTCTGGACAGATGCAAAATCCAATTCCGCAGAGCTGGCGCCAGATACCTGACTAGATGCTGCGCCACCACCTAAACCAATGAGCATACCTGGGCCACCCAGGACGATGATCTTCGCCCCTGGGGAAATCCGCATTTTCATCGCGAACTGTGGGCGGACGTTCCCGTATCCACCGGCGATCATGATTGGCTTGTGATAGCCTCTGATCTCCTGTGTAGATCCGTCCTCCGAGGCAGGGACAGATTCAGAGAACGTACGGAAGTAGCCTGCAAGGGCTGGACGACCGAACTCATTGTTGAAGGCACTCGCGCCCAAAGGGCCTTCGATCATGATGTCGAGGGCTGACGCAATGTGTGAGGGCCGACCAAAATCCGTCTCCCAAGGTTGCTCATAGCCGGGTATGAGAAGGTTGGAGACAGTGAAACCAGCTAGTCCAGCCTTAGGTTTCGATCCTCGGCCTACTGCTCCTTCATCTCGAATCTCCCCTCCTGAGCCCGTAGCTGCTCCTGGATAAGGAGAGACTGCAGTGGGATGGTTGTGTGTCTCGACTTTGATGAGAATCGGCATGTTCTCGACAGAAGCTTGGTAAATATGTTCGGTAGAAGGACTATGTACGCCAAATCGAGGAGCTTGTGCGCCTTCAAGGACAGCTGCGTTATCAGAATATGCGGAGATTGTTCCCAGCGGACTGATTTTCTCCGTATTCCTGATCATCTGGAAAAGTGACCAGTCGAGAAGCGTCTCGTCTACTGTCCACGATGCGTTGAATATTTTGTGCCTGCAATGCTCCGAGTTCACTTGCGCAAACATGAACAGCTCCGCGTCGGTGGGATTACGGTTGATTGGTGACGATCCAGATACAAATGCTTCCACCAAGTAATCAATTTCATCTGCTGCAAGCGCGAGTCCCAGTGCTTTGTTCGCAGTCGAAAGCTTCTCGCGTGCAGCACCAGCATCAATTTCCTCCCCTTCACCTCTCAACTCCACAATCCGCAGGGGGCTCGGGGAGTGATGTTGAAAGACCACGCCCTCGAGAGGTAGAGACATATGAACGCTCTGCGTCATACGATCGTGAAGCAAATGGGACAGCGC